AAAATACAAAATTTAAAACATCATGGTCCTCAAGGTGCCATACCTAAGTAAGTCTTGTTACTACAAGAATCTCAAGAGACCTCTAGAAAACTCTTCTGTCATACAGTTTCTACCTCAAACCATAAAAAGCAGAACCTCGTTGTTCTTTCCCAAGGGAAAAGGACATATTTGGAGGTTGATGGCTGACCTTGGTTTTGAATTCTTGTCTCACAGGTTACACGGACCTTGCCAAAATTGGTCTTAAGGCATCACATTCTAAAAGCACGAATCAACATTGTTCTCAGGTATCCCTTCACTTAATACTGAGTCATTGAGTGTCTTCTCTGAGGGTCAGCCCTGCAGATGCTCTCTGATCCCGGCTGGGCCTTCAGTGAAGTTCAACAATCCTCCCATTCATCCCCAATTGATTTCTTATTCCACCCACAGAGGCAGCTGCTCCGAACTTCCGAGAGTCTCTTGAACTTTCCTAACCACTCCACCCCCTTTAGCTTCTGCAGAAGACCTCATCTCTCGCCTTCTGTAGAAGACAGGGACCACACAACATAGACCCACGAACCACCCCTGCATTCCACGAAGAGATCGAAGCCTGAGACCCACAGCTCTGAGATGACATGATGATGATGCAAACACAAAATCAAAAGGCCTATTGATGAAGTCATCACTGGGTCTTTCTCAGGCATCTCTCCAGAAGGCCATGTATACTACTCAGCCAGAAAGATCCCTGTGAGAAATTCTGCCTGAACCCACGCTCTGACTTCTCCAAACAATTTCTTTTAAGAATTTGCATCCAATTTGTTTTCTCTTCTGTGACCAGGGTCCAAGAAGTATGGCCTGAATGGTCATCCTTTGAGGAACATCACACACAGCACTCGGCACAATGGCCATGGCTAGGAAGTCAATATCCAAATTCTTTGCATCCTGGGAGGTGTCCCACACCCACGGACTGAAATCTGAAGTGTCTTTGTACAGACAAGGCCTTCTAGGGGCCTTGACAGAATCTGTGAATCACAAAATGCCTTTCAGCTTCTCTTTGGAGCGATGGCACAGAGAGGCCACAGATTTGTCTTCTTAAACTGACACACAATATAGAATTAATAAATTGTTCCTTTACGAATGGAGGGCAGCCATCCAAAAGAACCACACATTCCAGAACCTCCTTCTCTTCTCTTTCCATGGCCTTTTCTTCGACTGTGACTTGCAGACGTGATCTCATCCGTGGGCTCCTGTGGTGACAGGTAGGTAACAGGCTGGGCAGGCTGCTCTCCATTGCCCAGTTTTTAAAGTCAGAGAGGTGGAGGCTGAGGGAAAGGAACCCAGCAAATCAGGGATCCATCCTGTGTCCTAGGTCCACTGTACTGCTCTGTCTGCCAGGGAAGCCAAACGTGACTTCAGGGTGCCTGTTCGGTTGCAAAACGTTGAATGCACACAGAGGAAGAGGTGCCTCCTGACCTCGGTGTTGAAATGTGAGAACTACCTCTGGACTTCTGCTCATGATAGCCCCTCCCCTCCTCTCTGCCTACTCAAGTTAGACCCACCTTCCTTGTGCTGCTCAAGAGCACTTCCTACCTGAAGTCCTTACTGACACCGCATCTTATCACTCTTTCCTTTGGCTACCTTTGGCAGGTAAACCTGGGGCTGGGTTTCCTGGTCACAGAGACCAACTCCCCTGGGAAAAGCGAACTCCAGGAAGGCTCCAGAGGTAGAGGGGTTGGTAAGAGCTGTGGGTTACTTTGTGACAGCATGGATGGAACTGGAGGCTATCATGCTAAGTGAAATAAGCGGGTCGGTGCAAGACAAATACCATATGATCTCACTTAATAAGAGAACCTAATGAACAAAATAAATGAACGAGCAAAATGGAACCAGAAACATGGAAACAGGGAACAGACTGACAGCTGCCAGAGGAAAGGGAAGAATGGTGGAAAGAAGGGGGAGGGATTAAAGAACGTGTATGAATAACCCGTGGACGTGGGCAATGGTGTGGGGATGGACTGTGGGAGCAGGGGGTGGGCAGGACAGAGCTGGGCAAAGGGGGAAGAGATGGGACAACTGTAACAGAATAAACAAGAATTAAAAAAAGAAAAAGAGCTGTGGGTTAACTACACACATGAACCACATTCTTAATGCTTATGTAATTAACATGTTTAACCATAGTTATAGAAATAGAATAGTATTATGTGCTAGACACTCCCCTGAGCACTTTCACGCGTCCCTCATTTAGGAAGAGCATCCCATGGAGTACCGGCCCCTATCCAGCCACCCGGGCCTGCCACCTCACCAGGCCTAGGCAGCAGCGCGCTCCACCCCCTCGTCCCGCCTCCAGCGCTAACGCAGGGCCGTCCTCTGGCCCCATCCTCTGGCCCCTGGACATGGCTCCGCTCCTTAGAACAACAAGACCAAAGGCCTTTTTACAAGACTCCAATGGGGTGACTGATGTCTGGTTTCGTCAACTACAAGTGAATAATTAATACCCGCCAGTAAAGAAATGGACTCATTATTATGGTGGCCACATGGGGGCTACAAAAGGCCATTCTGTGAAGCTCTCGGTGGAACCCTGGGGCCAATAATGCCCCAAAGAAAGCCCTTTGAGAGTGTAGGCCGATCCTCGAACATGGAGACTGGAGCGCCGCACTGTTTTCCAGCAGCCCTGTCCCCAATGTTAATTAGCTTGTCGCCTATTCATCACCTACTTCAGCTCCCTGGTCAAGGACAGCAGTGGAGGCCTGCTGAACGCCCTGTGAGGACACAGTTGATCAAAGGGGACATGTCGTGTTCTCCTGGGGCCCTTTCCTAGTTTTTAAATTCATGTCGACTTCCTTCTCCGGGTCAGCCTGATTTGATTTGAGGAAAACCCTTCAACCCTACTGGATTTATACCCTTCTCTTGGCCTAATGCCTTTTCATTTCCATTTCTACCTGGGATTGAACAAAGCCGGCTTGGGTGCCTCCAGAAGCAGTCAGAACTGGCCAGGAAATATAATAAAGAAGTACAGTGAGCAGAGAGCTACTGCCCCCGGCTGGAGGCTCAGCCCGCACAACTAGCCAGAGACACAGGCTTTGTAAGTAAAAACACACCCTTCTGGTGGCCTACGTGCTGTCCTGGCAGAGGGCAACCAGTGCCTCCAAGTAACTCTCTAGAGGAAAGTTTCACCTCCCCCAAGTGGACACTGGGTGCTCAACAGAGGCGTTCTAGTGACAGTGACCCTTGGCCAGTTAGACATACACTCTCCTATGATATTTTTGCCCTCATGACCACAGTTGTCCTTGCAGCAAACAGAGATGACAGCTGCTAGGTATTGTCATTTCAGGAAGCGGTTCCCCAAAACTGCTATCCAGCTCCGCACTCCGCCTTCCAGCCCACTGCCTGAAATTCCACCATGAGAGATACCAAGTATTTGACCTAGAGCTTTGCTTCCCATTCAAATGCCTCTCATCCTCTGTTTGCTTTCTGCCTGAATGACATCAAAGCACCTGCTCTGTGTGGAATGGGAAATTCTTTTGTATTTAGCTCTTGAGGATAAACATGGTCACTGGCTCTTTTCTTGAAAACAAGGAGACTGGGAGGCACAGGGCACTGTGTGGAAGTGTGTGGCGCCCCCCCCACCCCCCGGCTGCCCCCCTCGCAGGGGCAGGGTCCCAGAGGAGGCTGATGCTGGCCAAAACAACCCTAAGGCCCTATAATCCTGTCCAGGGATGTGGACCTAGATTTTTGCTCTCCAACCTGTGTCATCTTCAGGGTTGCCAGGATCTTCCAACAGGGCCTGTGCCCAAGAAAAAGGTAAGATCCCTGTGCTCAAGAAAAAGGTAAGATCCCTGTGCTCAAGAGGACACAGGCAGGAGGTGGAAAAGGGAAGTGTGGGAAACAGCATTCTCCTGTTTGACCCTCCTGCCCACGGGACTGCCCTGCTCATTCCCTGCGGGCACAAGGAAAATATCCTTGTCCCCTTCCTCGCCTGGCTGGAAGGGGAGCTGATGGCTAACAGCCCTCGGTATTTCCCCCGTGCCAGGGAAACTAATTCAAAGTCAGAATCCCTGGGCTGAGAAGAGCACCCGGGCAGCCCGTTTCCTTCCCTCCCGGGTTCCCTATTCAGAGGACCATAAGCTTATCAGATCATGCTTCCCGCCCTCACCCCCCAAAAGAGAGCACCCCCTCCTCTGGCTTTTCACATAGGCAGTGTGCACCCATCCAGGGGGCGGGCTGTCCTGAAAAGTTGAAGCCACAGCAGGCAGGTAGGCATCTTCCTGATTGTTCCCAGCTCTAGAAAACCCAACCTTTTCCCCCGGGAGCCAGCCCACTCACCCCTTCCCCCTCCTTCTCCCCTCCCCCAGCTAGCCGGGCGAGGGGGGCGGGTAGAGCGCAGCTAGTGCAGGCCTGGAGGCTTCAAAGCGGGTCAGACGAACCTACTCTCTCTTTAAAACCCCCACCCGCAAACAGCGCCGCTTCACCCCCTCGCCCCACCCATCTCAGGTTCACCGCAGGGCGCAGGGTGCCCGAGGCAGCTGCCAGGCGGGCCCAGGCGGCTCTCGCTGGCCCTAGGAGAGGAGATGGTGGCCGCGGCGGCAGACGCGGAGGCTGGCGCTCTGCATGCACTACCTGGCCGCGGGGATGTCGCCGCCGCTGGGCTCGCGGCTGCTGCAGGTGTCCCAGGGGTCCGGGATCAGAGCCGCTTCCTCTCTGGCCCGCAGCTTCGGCCCCGGCCGTGCACCTGCTGCGGCTGCCGCCGCACCCAGGCCCCTCCGCGTGTCCGCGCCTCCCCGCAGGAGGTCCGCACCGCGGAGCCCGGGGCTGGCCGGAGGGGCGACGGGACCGCGCTGGGGCTCGGGCCCAGCCTCCAAGGCTTCCGAGGGCCCTGAGGCCGCGCAAGCTGGGGCGCTGCGCCGAGCGCCCCCCGCAGGCTGGGAGAAGGGGAGCCGGCCCCTCGCGCATCCTCAGGCCACATCGCCATCTCTAGCAGCATCCCGGTCCCGGCGCCGGCCCCAGGGCCTGCAAACGCCGCTTACCTGGGTCTGCGGCAGGTCCAGGAGAGCGGCCGGATGATACCGCTGGGCCCCGGGCCGGGGCGCAGGATGCTCTGCCCGGCTCAGCTCGGCCGGCCGCCGCGCTCGGCCCCGCCCTCGGCCCCGCCCTCCTCCCTTAGCGTCTCCTCCTCCGCTCGGGTGCCCGGCTCCTCTGTCGGCGCGGCTGTCACACAAAGAGCAGGAAATGGCTGCGGCGAGGGGCTCCGGGTGTGCCCCACTACGCGGCCGGTGCGTCCCAGACCTCCAACTTGGGCTCCCGCCCCAGGACAGCCAGCCTCCCTGCTCTAGGGATGGAGAGAAAGAGGAGGACTTGTCCCCAGCCTCAGAATGCCTAGAACCACACTTGAATCAGTGGGAAGACAGAAGCTTCGGGCTACATTGGGATCTCATTGATCTCATATTATTTCCAAGTGCTCATTTATCTACCTAGTATTTATTGAGCACCTACTTTGTTCTAAGCACCGTGCCAGGACCTAGGTATGCACTGGTGTACAAAAGACAGGGTCCCTGCGCTTTTGGGGCTTATCATCTCCTAAGAGAGACAGGACACACATGAATTAACCTAGCACATGTCCGACTACAGCTAGGAGAAGCTCTGTGAAGGCAGGAAACAGGGTGAAGTGATAGAAAGAACACCTGGGGCTTGGGGAGAGGGACCTTTTGAGTCTGGTCCCTAATGCTGCTCCCTTGTCAAGAATAACTTCTGGCCTTTCTCCTTCAGTTCCTTAAAGCCGAATCCCTGAAGCTACCATCTCTTAAGCAGGACCTGCCTCAATTTCATTCAGGAAGAATTGCCTAGTGGACAAAAAGGAAAAGGTATGGTGACATGATGTATTGATAATTCTGGGCCAAACCCAGGAAGGAACTGAGAGGACAAGCACTTTTCTCTTCAAGGCCTAACCTGTCATTTAGGGCTTGCCAAAGTCTTGGTTCTCATTGACACGCATGCAGCCTGGTGGGCCTTCAGACCAGGCTGAAGGCGGACCCCATTAAATTCTAAGTCTGAAGTTAAGTCACTTCTTTACTCTGTTCCCAAGATGACGCTAGAAGTATAAGGAGCCATAGCTACCTCATAGGGTCAATAATTGGAAAGCATTTGAGACAATTTAAGGTGTATATAGATTTAAGGGAAATGTTTGCCTGGGGCCCACTAATGCATGCCTAATCACTCAGCTCTTCCTATCAGGGGCTATTTATAGAGGGGCCGAGTTACTCAAGTCTCAGCAAAGGGCTGTGGCAGTATTTTTCCTCGCTGATCTCACACCAGTTCCTGAGGACTCAGAAATCCTCCTCCTCTGTGGTTGATGGTATATCACTCTAATTTAAATTGCTACACACACACACACACACACACACACTTCTGTCCCTGATGCCCTGTGAGAAAGCAGTGCAGGTGTTTGTGAAGGATGGCTTTAAAAATGGGACTGAGGTTTTTCTTTAAAAAATATTATTATTTTTTATTCCCCACTGTGATCCTTGGGATTTTGAGTGTTGGTGACTTACGAATATGAAATAACGAGAGAGTAGATTTTCATTCTAAAGGGAATGTTGCTGTGGATGGTGTAGATTTCTGGAAGACATATTTTTCTGTTATTCCTTCCCTGACTTTTCACCTTTTAGGAACAAGTTGCTTAAAAAACAAAGAAGAGTATCCCCAGCTGGTGTGGCTCAGTGGATTGAGTGCTGGCCTTTGAACTAAAACATCACCTGTTTGATTCCCAGTCAGGGCACACGCTTGGGTTGCATGCCAGGTCCCCAGTAGGGGGCGCACAGGAGGTAGGCACACATTGATGTTTCTCTTTCTTCATCCCTTCCCCTCTCTCTGGAAATAAATAAAATCTTTTAAATAAAAAGAGAGAGACATATATGTTTGGTTAGATCTTAGGCAAAAATAATTTTCTGACCCCTGAATTTTATTTACTTATAAGGGGAAGCAGTATAGTCTTGTTGTAATCGCTGTGTTGGAAATTCAGTGGCTTGCCTTTTTGTCCTAGTTTTGCAATTGAATGTTCTTAGGCAAGTCACTCCACCTCCCTGTTTCCCCTTCTACAGAGTGAAGTAGGTTGGATACGCTCCAAAGTTCCTCTGAATGTGGAAAATCGCTTGAGTTCAAACAAAGGACATGCCTTGGCCTTGCTTAGAGCACTTCGCTAGCTCTCTCTACCCCCAGGATGGAGCCCAACTCCTCACCATGGCCTGCCAGGGTCTTCATGACCTGACATGTGCGTCTCCTGTGAACAAGCTTGCCCTGCTTCAGCTGAAAGGAGTCTTTTAGTTCCCCAAACTTGCTGCCCTTTGACCTTTGCATGAGCTGGGTTTTTTCACTTGGAATGATCTGTCCTCCTTTCCTTCCCTCTTCCACTCTTTTCCCCATTTTGCCACCCAACTTCTCTTCATCCTTCTGGTGTGTACTTAGACGTCACTTCATCCAAGATCCCTCCGGGTCTGGGGTAGATTAAGGTTCGCTGTCTATAGCTCCCTGGCTTCTTCTGTCATGCCATTTGTTATGCTGAGTTGTGACTGTGGACACACTTGCCTGCATTCCATCAATAGAACATTAAACCTAAGAGAAGGAATGGGTCCATCTTGCTTGCCATTGCATCCTCAGAGACTAGTTAGTATATAATGAGGTCAGTAAAAGTGGGATGAATGAATAATCAACAGTGAAATCTTAATTTACACGTTGCCAGTGAGATTTATAGTCGTCTTTCTACTGTGCTCAGGTTTCCTTCACATCCAACATGTCAGCACCATCAGCAATGAGAAGATCACAACGATCAGGCGAGAATTGCTTTGCCACCTGCAAAGCTGTGTCCCACGCATTGTGTTATCGTGTGTGGCAATGTTGCCAAGTTTTTAGAAAACACTCAAGTTACGTAGGATATCTAGGTTTCCATTTAAAAATCCATTGGCAGACGCTGCTTCATAGAAACCAATAGTAGAATATCTGTAATGGGTATAAGAATTGGTTTGGGAGGGAGAAATAAAAAATACTGACACTAGTAATAATAGCCAACACTTACCAAATGCATTGCCTCGTTTAATATTCACAATTATCCTATGAGAAAAATGTAATTTTTAGCCCCAATTTATAATTGAAGAAACCAAGGCAGGTTAAATAACTTGTCCAGTTAGTGAAAACAAAATTCATGCTTTTAACCAAAATTACCTACAGCCTTATCTCCCCCTCGCCAACTGAATCCATGTATTCATTAATATGCCACCTTATTCCAAAAACATGTTTAATGCAAGTTACTGAGGTGCATTATTTTTAAATGTTTTTAATCAGTAACAAATTTTTAAAAGAAAGAAGGAAAAGGTGTTGAGATGGAGACAAAATGTGAGTAATACAAAAAAAAATCTCCGTATTGCCAAAGAAGGCTCACGTACCTGGTCCATGTAGTTAGCATTTATGTAGTTAGCAGGGAGAGAGAAAGTTGATGGTCAGTTACACAATTTACTTTGTTCTTTAGATCAAGCCTGACCTTTTGCTCAAAATTGCCTCATTTTACAAAGGAAAGAACTGGGGCTCCGAAAGGGGAAGGGTTGCTCAGAGCCAGCTGGCCCCAGACCCCGGTCTTTCCATGGGAAACTGGGTTACCTATTTTCTTCATTGACTGAAATCATCTGTTAAAGAATATACTTAAAACTAAAATTTATTTAGCCTCTATGCTAAGTACTGCATATGGATGGGCTCACTTCGTCCTTAGAAAATCCTTAGAAATCACCGTAGTGTTTTAGAAATGAAATGGTTTTAAGGTATTATTCTCACACAGTAAGTTTATTTTGTAAATTTTATTTTTCAATTACAGTTGACATTCAATATTATTTTTTATTAGTTTTGGGTGCATGGCATAGTGGCTAGACAATCAGGTGCTTTACAAAGCAGTCCTCCTGGCGCCACGCATAGTTATTGGAATATTATTGACTATATCCCCTCTGCTGTACTTTCCACCCTCCTGACTCTTTTGTAACTGCCAGTCTTTACTTCTTAATCCCTTCACCTTTTTCACCCTGCCCCCCCCAACCCCCTCCCCCTGGCAACCCGCAGTCTGTTCTGTTCATCCGTGGGTCTGTTTCTTTACAGATAAAATATGGAGGGGGTGTTTTGCTGTTGAAACATTGCAGCTCCATCCTGGGCCATTTGGAAATGCACTCCCTTCCTTCTCTGCTGTCTTCCCCTTACTTTGCTCATTTCTCACAATTTCTAGAGAACTGGCCTCCCTTGAAGGTCAGCTCTTTTACACATAACTTGATACCAAAGAACATTGCGTTGTTAGTTAAACAAATACTGTTTACAATAATTGTGGGTAAGAGCTGATAAGGAGGATCTGAGAATATTCTGAATGGATCTGGAATGCCACACGCAGCGAGGTAAAATGGGGTCAGGGCTGCTGTGATCGCAGGGAGCTTAGATGGCCCTCGAATCAGCCCCACAGGATGGCTGCGAGGATGGAATGGGAGAACGGACAGGTGGGTGTCTCTTGCTCCTCCAGGCCATTCGGCCCCCTTCCTCCTGCTGTCCTCCATGGAACCTGACATCTGTGATCTACCCTACCAGGGTCTCCACATTCCCTGACTTCCCATTGGTTTGGTTAACAAGAAGTCTCAGCAGTTGATGGGTGGGGGCGGGGAGCGGGGAGAAAGGAGTGGGGTCAGCATATTTGTTCCTCTGCTTCCTCCTTGGGATGCTGCTGTGGGCTTCCTCTGTCCCTCACTAAAGGTCCTCTTCTCCAAGGGCAACCTTCTCCAGTGACCCCCTGCTTCCACATTCAAGTGACCACCCCCAGCCTGTCTGTCCAGGCCAGGGGGTGGTAAGTGCCCTTTCGCTGCTCTTTTCCTCTGTGCCACTTCCTGTGGTTCTCCTCAACGTGACTCATGCTATTTTCAAATAGTCCTTTTGTAAATAAGCCCTGCTTGAATTATCTTGATTCGAGTGTGACATGTTTGGTCCCTAACTGATATCTTATTCATCTTACGCACCTGACACAGAGCCAAGGAATAGGAGGTGGATGGTAACTGCTTATAAATGAAGGCTCTCTATAACTCTTTCTAACAGTATCTGTATGATTCTGTTATTTCCCACGGCAACGGCACGCCGCGACTTGGGGGAGTCATTGAAGACGCGCGCGCGCGCGCGCACACACACACACACACACACACTGCTGGGAGCAGGCACTTCCTTCAAAGTCACTGCAAGTAAACATATACTCCCATTGAAAATATGTGCTTTCATGCAAACGCAGCTTCAACCCCAGCCCTGTTTTCCTGATCCTCAGACCGCCTTCTTAAGCCCCTCGACCTAGGGAACCCACAGCTCCCTCTGCACATGTGTGCGCACACATTCCGCACCTTGCCGAATGGCGGGTATTCTGCCCGTTCCTTAGACTGGTGACCTCAGAGTGTCGGAGGATTCCAGAGAGAGTAAGGTCTGCAGGATCAGAGCCCTGGGAAGTACATCTGTCCATCTAACCCCGTGTAGAAGTTTCCTAGCCAGATCATCTGCCAGTGGAGGCAGGCCCAGAGGCAAACTCCGCAAAGGGCAGCGTGGAAGCCCCAGGCTTTCTCATCTGTGCCTCGCGGTCCCCTGGTTCCTGAACTGGCTCCTGCAATGGACCTGGGCATGTGGGGAGCCGGATGGTACAGGGAGCACTCAACAGACCCAAAAATAACAACCCAGCTTCTCTTCCCCTGAGAGTTTAAGAGGGAGGGGGACATCTATTCATTTCTGTCCAACTGTGACCTAAGACTGAATTATAATTTCCGCATGTCGCCCACACAGCAGACGACAGTGGATGAGAATGAACAATCATCTGGTACTGGGAGCAAGGCAGAAATAATATCCAAGTTGATTTCTCTTCCGCCAGCTTGCCTCTTTCAAATCCACGCAGCATGTTGCTGCTAGAATATATTTTTATTCTTTCTTCTTTAAAAACATTTTTTTATCCTTACCTGAGGACATTTTTTTATTGCTTTTAGAGAGAAAGAAAAGAAGGGGGTGGAGAGAGAGAGAGAGAGAGAAAGAGAGAGAGAGAGAGAGATTGATGTGAGAGGGAAACATCTATTGGCTGCCTTCTCATACACGCCCCAGTGGGGGATTGAACCCGCAACCTGGGCATGTGCTCTGAGCAGGAATCAAACCCATGACCTTTCAGCCTTCAGGAGAGTGCTCCAACCACCCGAGCCACAGCAGCCCAGGCCAGAAAATATTTTAAACACAAATTTGGCCTTCTCTCCTTGTTCAATGACATCTCTTCTGTCTACAGGTAGAATTCCCTTGTTGTCTTTTGTAACATGGCCCTTGCTGAGATTTACAACCTCTTTCAGTTTGCCTACCCCTTCGGTCATCCTTGCCCTCGCCAAGACCACACCCCCCTTATGCTCCACCCATGGTCAACTGATCACAGCTTTCCAGTACATTCTCTTTCTTGTGTTCCTCTACCTGAAAAGTATTTCTCTTATTTCTGCCCACTTGCTTTCCTTAAATGAAAACCCCAATTCATCTTCAAAGCTGAATCAGCCATTATTTCCTCTATGACAGTGCTTCCCAAACTTAAATGTGTATAGGATCCCCTGTGGATCTTGTTGAACAGTAGAATCTTATTCGGTGGGTCTCACGGTAAAGCTGGATAATTTGCGCATCTCACAATCCGTTCTTGCTACTGTTGCCGGTGCAGGGAGCGTGCTTTGAGTAGCATGTGTCATAACCTTGCCCTGTGGATAGTGAGATTCCATCGGTTTCTCCGGGGTCTTCTCTTCTCTGACCGTATTTCTGTTGTTGCTCTAATTGCTGCATTATATACAGTTTTAGTTCTACTTTCCCAACCAACCTGCAGTTCCTTAAAGGTAAAGACGTTGCCCTTTCTCATTTTGTTTCTGTAGCTCTCAACACAGCATGTCATAGGAACCTAGGAAGCATTTGATATTTACCTGTTGAGCAAATGTTGAAGCATGTCTGTGGAGCGTGGAACCATGCAACCATTTTTATTTAAGGAAAATTTGTGGTTGTTTGACATTTGGACAAATATGAAACCCAGGCCATACACACTGTAGTTATTAAAATGCACAGCTTTATTTGCTGGACCTAATGTTTAACTTTGTGTGCTTTATGAAGGGTAAGAGATATTTGTGATATTTTTATTGTGAACACTAGCAATGACTGTACACTAATAAATATCCAATCTATGCATATATAAATACATAGTCTCAAAAGGTACAAAAGGCAAAACCTACAAAATGCATTAGGAACCTTGCATAAGAGAATTTCCTGTGAACATGTGGCACCATTTTCAAAATGATTAAAAAAAACAAAACAGGCCGGAAGCCCATTTTTCAGGATAGAACAGTGGGAGGGAAACCATGTACATGCATTCAGCTAAGGCCCCTATGAATCTGCACTTGAACAAGAGAGTAACATGTGACGGAAGTTTTCTAAACCAGACCACAGAAATCAGTCAGTTCTGATGTTCTCCTTCTAGGCTGGATATTCCAGAAATCATCTCTAATTAATGATTCCAAAGGAGAATGTATAAAATGCCAGCAAGTACAGGGGGACGATTTTGGGTAAGTTGAGTAAGATCATCTTCTGAATGATGGAGTTTTATCTTGGGGCTCCCAGTTCACAATACTTGTAGTTAAAAGTTATGCACTTGAATCTCCAGCCAGTTAAAATATCACATGGTTTAGAAAAGAGCCGATTGCAACACCATCCAACAATCACTCCGCAAGTTTTATCTGAATGCTGTAGGAAAATTAACTCCCTTTTATATCAGGGAATGCCCTTCCCCACAAAGTGTCCAAGCAGACTACAGCCAGCCCGAGGCTGGAATAAAGAAAGCCTTTTATGCTTCTGCAGGAGAATCTTTCCAAGCTGCTTTGAGGCCCACCTAAATGGCTTCATGCGACATGACTCTGATATGTTGAGTGAATCAAAGGGTTAATTAACTTAGTCCAAACTCCTTACCTCTGACCAAGGGGAGGCTACAGAGAGGAAAGAGACAGTCTGATTCCAAGTTGGAGGCTACAATGCCAACCGCTACGGTCTATGCAGGCTGACATTGCTCTCTGCTGGTGCTTTTCAATGGTGACTTCCTCTGTCTTTTCCCTCTGCTGTATTTATTTCCTCTGCAATCAATTCCTTTTGTCTTTGGTAAAAGACAGTGTTGACTAGGAATACAAACTGTGCACTGGAGTCAGGCAGAGGTGGGCTAGAATCCTGGGCTCAATTCCTAGCTCTGCCACTTTGAGCAGGTGTCCTGGCTTTTTAAAGCCTCGGTTTTACTGTCTGTAAAGTGGGAATAGTAATACTATCTCACAAGGTTGGTGTGAACTCAGGATACACTGCAGAGAAGGCTTGTAGCTCAGGACACATTCACCTTGAGGTGCTAAAACAACAGTAGCCATCACTATGCATCTGAGGAGCACCCCACGTGGAACCTGGCTCAGTTTCCATCCAGGTGGTTTCCACAACAACAGACCCCTTGTTTCTCTCCCAGAATTTTGGGAGACTTAAAGTCTCAACCTTAAAGCTGCAAGTCTATAAGACTTAAAGCAGCTTCAGTTTCTCTGCAAGGCCCCCTTGCTCAACACAATCCCTCTGTTGTTGTTGGGAGAATGCAGAGAGGGGGCTGTTCCTCGGGGGGGGTGGCAGGGGACACGATGACAGAGTCGTCAGTCAGAGTTTGTGCTCAGAAGCAACCGTTTCCTCCTAGGATGCCCGCAGAAGCGTTCTGTACAGAAGGGGAGGCATAGTCGCCTGCCTGGCTTGGTACTAGAGGTGAGCATCAGCGTGGTAACAGCCTGAGGTCTTTCTCTGTATCAGGTGGTTGCCTACCACCAGAGGCCCTCTTTCTGCCCAGACCAGTTATCCAGGGCTCCAACTGTGGGACCGAAACTGTTCACCCGAGTCCATTAAGCTCCCTTCAAGGAGAAAGGTGGCAGTGTGCTCTGAGTGAAGACTCACAACGCCGGATATCCGGCCTCTGAGGTGAGCAGCTGCTCCGTCGTCGTCTGTGGCCGGAAGCTGTGGCCAACAGCATCACGATGGAGGAGCTTACTCTTTCAGACCTTAATTAATGCGCACTTCTGCTCAATAGGGAGTCATGCTCCTCAGTCTTCTTGTTCCATCCCTTGGGATTTTATGTTGCCAGGTCAAATGAAAAGTCCCTTGACCATTAACCCTAGACCCATGTTTAAAATAACAATAAAAATAACAATCCAGGGCCCTCTTCTGTCTCTCTCTTTCTCTAAGAAGAAGTGCAAGAAATGTTGCCTGAAAGCTGTCAGATTGAGGTTTGTGCACCGCCCGAGATAAGAGGCTGGAGGGAAGGTAGAGGGACGGCCGCCACTCTGGACCTGCTCTCAGTTCATTGGCTGAGGCTCGGGCCTGTGGCTGAGTGCCAGCCTCTGTGGCAGCCCAGGGACTGGCACCGCAGGCCAGCTGCCTCTGGGGAGTCCTGGGCTGGTGGCGGCTTTTAATGCTCTATGGAGGGAAGGTTTCTTCCCCTGCTCAGGATCTGCAGCTGCGTCTCTGCTAAAGTCCTGATTCTGCAAGTTCACCCAGTTGACTCAAGAGTCTGGAGAAAGGCGGCCGGTCTTCTGGTTTCTAGAGAGGGAAGAACAGAACTCTGAGTTCCTTGTATTTGTGTGTCATAGCTAATTCCAAAAGAAAACTAGAATTCAAGAGCAGTACCCTCTGCTGCTTTCAAATATTAAAATATGGTGCTAGGCCAATTGGACATCTATAGGCAATACAACGATTTTAGACATAGACTTTATACCCATCATGAAAATTAACTCAAAAGGATCACAGACCTAAATGTAAAATGAAAAACTGATAAAAATTCGAGAAGATAATCTAGGCCTTGCAATGAGTTTTTAGGTACAACACCAAAAGTATGATTCATAAAGGGAAAAACAACTGATGTTGAACTTTGTTATTATTAAAAACTTCTACTCTGTAACAGATATTGTTAAGAGAATGAAAAGACAAGCCATTGGCTGTGATAAAATATTTTCAAAATATATGTCTAATAAAGGACTTATATCCAAAATGTACAAAGAACTCTTAAAACTTAAAAGCAAGAAAAGCAAGAAAACAAAAGCCTGATTTAAAAATGGACAAAAGATCTAAATAAACACCTCCTTAAAGAAGATATACAAATGGCAAGTATGATGAAAATATGCGTAACATCCTATGTTAGTACGGAATTGCAAATTAAAACAAGCTACCATTTGTTTTAGAGATGTCACTATACACCTGTTAGAATGGCTAAAACCCAAAACACTGATGATGCCATTGCTGGTGAGGACGTGGAGCTACAAGAGCTCTCCCTGCTGGTGAGAATGCGAAATGGTACAACCACTTTGGAAGACAATCTGGTAGTTTCTTAAGCAGCTACACATAGTGTTATCCACATGATCCAGGAATTGCACTTCTGGATATTTACCCAGTTTGAGCTGAAACTTATGTTCATACAAAAACCTGCAAATGTTTATGACAGCTTTATTTGTGATTGCCAAAAATTGGAAGCAATTAAGATGTCCTCCAGTAGATAAATGAGTAAACAAACTGTGGTGTATCCATACAATGGGATAGTATTCAGAGATAAAAAGAAACAAGCAATCGAGCCACAAAAATATATGGAGGAATCTTAAACACGTATTGTTAAGTGAAAGAATTCAATCTGAAAAGGCTCCACACTATATGATTCCAACTATATAATATTATAGAAAAGGTAAAGCTCGGAAAATAAAAAGATCAATAGTTGCCAGGGGTTTGGGAGAAGGGGAGAAAGAATAAATAAATGTAGGTGAAGCATGGTGGATTTAGGGCAGTAAAACTATTCTGTATGATACTATATAGTGGATACTATATAGTGGTAGAAACCTATTATACATCTGTCAAAACTCATAGAACTGTACAATATACTACACTAGTGCAAAATATTATCAATAGGGGAGGAGGATATGAGAGAATTCTATACTATTTGCTCAATTTTTCTGTACATCTAAAACTTCTAAATAGAAAAGTTTGCTAAGTAAAAAAAAAAATGTGTTAATGTCAACTATTATAATTACCCTTGTGAAGTGGACTAGATTTGTTTTGTGCCCTGGTTTGTTTGTTTCTTTGTTTCTGGTTATAAAAGACCTATGAACGTAGGTCTATGGACTTACAAATCAAGCATTATTTCATTCTCTACCAGTAAGAAAGAGGAGGTTTAGAGAATTATCTAAGATTAATGACTAAGACAAGGCAAAGCTGAGACAAAACCCAAGTACTCTATAGTTTTTCAATTCTACCTTGTTGCCCTTCAATGATCTGAATTTGTATTAACTCCTTGTTTCAGCAACTTTCAACTTTGGTTGAAATTTACATTTTCCTAACTCACCAAAGGACATCTAAGGCTTGTGCCAGTGTGGTTCAAGGCAGAGCCTGCAACCCAGGCGTGGGATGACTGAGACGCCTGGGACAGGGCAGAGGCATTGGATTCCCTTTCTGAATTGTTGAACGAATAAAATGAACTCTAAGTCATTTTAATATTTCACAGCACAAGTGAACTTCTGATCCCCAATTTATACGACTAGCTTTATCTACATTCAGTGGTTTTACGATGTTACACAAATGATTTTATTTCTCTAAAAACATTGACATAGCTTCACCCACTCTTTTTCTCTCACAGTATATCGATGGCTTGTGACATTACGTAGCAAATCAAATGATATTTAAGGTCACTGCCAGGTCTTTTAGGGGTGGGGAGCCTCTCGAGTTAATAGACACTCAAAGTCACTTTCCTACTACTCTATTTTATTTGTCTCTGCTTACTCATCCTCTAAAGGGTTCCTTTCTCTAAGGAAGGGGGAAGACTCTGAAGCTGTAGGTTATAATGCAGTGGGAAACCACTTCCTTTACTGACCTCTTTCCAGCAATGATTCATGATCTGGTAGATATGCGAGGAGGCCAGCCGGGGCTTGTATAAACGAAATCCAGTAGTGATGTCTTCCACCACCTCTGAGTTGCTTCGGTTTTCATATGGGATTTTGCCTTCACTGAAGACTTCCCACATCAGCACACCTACAAGAAATGGGGAGCGCAGCACAGCTAATGATAATGTTCACAAATAGCAAACAAACAAATGTACACCTGGAAATCACAGACTCCTTGACATTAAGATCCAAGTCCCCATGACCTGAGGCTTATTAGGCCTCTCCTATTTCTAAAGAACAGAGATTCCCCACCTTCTTAGTGGGGAAGAATGCCAAACTCAGCCCTTTGTTATCTCTAACTCAAATGCTACAGATGATGTAAATAAGTGACATGAATGAGGTATAATAGGGACTAGCGAGATCTGTGGCAAACTGGAGATCAAAACTTCTGTCCTAATGGCACAGCTGCGATTTAGCTCCAGCAGGGTAGGCCACCTGGGAACGAGGGCTCAGGATGACCACATTTTCTGCTTTTTCGAAAGAAGTCATATCTTGAGAGTTTTGAAATATAAACTGAATTTGATTCTAAAAAAAATACTGTATAGATCAAGCAAAACACATCTTCAGGTTGTCCATTTCTGATAACCTGATTTAATCCCTTTTCTTCTTCCACCCAAAGTATACAGGTCACGCCCAAACCTTAGAATGCATGACAAAGTGCAATGGCCTGACTGCAGGCATTGAGCTCTCAGACCGCCCAGGCAGCTGTTTCTAAGGCTTACCGTTCCCTCCCCCCACCCCAAGTCTTGTCACCCTTTCTACTCCGCTTCTGTCAGCTAATGTCATCTTTGGACACTCCGCATGACACATCCCAGGCAGGGATGGACTTTAGCTGAACCCTCTCATTATAAGATGCAGCAGTAAATTCCCAGGCTGACAGTCTGTGGCAGAATAAACCCCTTTCAGAGTCAGAAGGAGAATGTGCCTAAGTGGCCACGGCTGCAAACATCTCTTGGTGGGACATCCGGCAGGGTGCAAGCGTGATGAGCTGCACCCCCCATACAGTGGGGTGCACACCAGCCCTGCCCTTTCTAGTTACACTGGAGGAGGGAGAATCTTCTGAGATTGTCCTAGTGCAATTTTATTTCTTCGAAGTTCATTCTGTAACTTAAATTTGGCTAACAAAGCCATAGCTAGGCCTGTTGAATAGGGGAACCATTTTAAGGAACGGTCCAGAAGGACTCAGAACTAACAAACCATTTTGTTGTTGAAAGTAGATATTCTAAAAGGCTAGAGAAGACTTTAAAACTAGTTATTCTCCTAAGAGATTTCATTAGTCAGCTTCTTCCTGGTTTTTAGTACTAGTCAATATTCTTGGCAAACCTTCCCTTTATAGAGAAAGGCAACATCAGACTCCAACTTGTTCCTACCTAAAGTATGATCCTTCTTGTAATTCAAAGCAAAGAGGTTGTCTGGTATATTTTTGTGCATCATGCTTTAGCTTAGGGTGTCGCGACAACTCCAGCAAGAATATTTAATACGTCCTACCATACCAACATCATTCACTCTGCCTCTTATTTGTGGCCATTTTCACTTATTAGAAATTCTAATTTCCAATCATTGCCTGCCAACGTCATTGCCTCCTGTTCGACCCGTTCTCTTTGAGCCAAGCCTTTGAACTCGCTGGTTCCTCTGTCAGGGACGCTGTTTCCTGAATCTTCCAATGGAAACAGCTCCCTCTCATCATTCAGATTTCTGCCCAAGAGTCACTTCCTCAGAGAGGCCATCCCAGATCACGTAATTTAAAACAGACTCCCTCTCCGTCCCAATCACCCCCTCTCCCATTACTTTGTTTTATTCATAGCACTTGCTTATCACTATCTGACTTTATCTTATAGACATGTTGATTAGCTTGTTTACATAATCTGTATCCTCCTAAAATTTAGCTAGGAGAGGAATCTTTCCTATCCTATCCACCACTGTATTGTGAGCACCAAGATTAGGCCCTGGCATATAGCAAATGGTCTATAGAGTGTTGTTGAATGAATAAGTAAATAGGTATTGAGGATTAAGTGTGGGAATATAATAATGGACAAAATTGGTCCTGGCCCTCAAGGAACTCATATTCTGATCTCCTGACTCCTCCAGCTTTTGATCTCACAGCAGCTGTCACCAGAATCCCGTCTCCACTCTCGTTTTTACCCTCCCCCATTTCAAAGATCTTTAAGAACAAATACAATAATGAGGACCCCTTCATGCAGACTACCAGTGGCACTCCCTCACCACCCGGAGTTCAAGGGCCGGTAGACCGAGATCATGTGGGTATGGGGCCAGGATGACACTCACCAAAGGACCACACATCCGACTTGCTACTATAGCGACTGAAGGAGAAGACTTCCGGGGATGCCCACTTCACCGGGAACTTGGTGCCTGTGGAGCTGGTGTATTGATCATCAAGGACAAACCTGGGAGAGAGTGGAGAATGTCGAATGATCAGAGGGCCTGAGCCCCATCCTTGAGGCTTGGTTGGGGGACACCCCATCCCCATTTTACCTTGTCATCCCGAAGTCCGACACCTTGATGACTTGGTTTTCTCCCACTAAACAATTTCGGGCAGCCTGGAGAAGAGATAGAACGACAAAAGGGCAGATAATCAGTAATTAAGGAGTCGCCCACAACTGTGGTCCTTTATTTTCCTCTGTGCTGTGGTACAGGGGCGCTGAGGTGCTTTACAAATGTTAATTAGGCTTCATAAGCACCTGCTGGAAGTCAGCTAGAAAGTGGAGTGTAAGATCCTTTATCAGGATGAGTAAATTTGGTCTTTTATCTTCATTTCTGGAATCCTAATTAGAAGAGAAATCCGCAGTGTTGTTTAATGGGTGATATGCTCTAATCTAATGCAACCTGATGCGATAAGAAATGTTCACGTTAGGGCTGATGGGAAGAGGCTGTCGCCCATTTGACTAAAATAGGAATATTCTGAGGTTGCTAATCCTCTTACAACTCTTTCTCAATCGGGAGAGTACCTCGTCCCCAGTTACTATCACAGAACGTTGCATTGGAAGAGCCCTTAGTGATAAAAGACTCCAGAGTCTCAAATTTTCACGTGCCTACAGTCCCATGGCAGGACATGTTAAAATAAACATTCCCGAGCCCCGGCCCCCAGAGCTGCTGCGGATAGCTTTAGGGTCGCCCCAATGTGATTCTAGCAGCTCCAGGGATAACACTTCAAGAAAAACTGCTTGTTTGAAAACTTCCCTCATTTTGCCAGGAGGCCCCAGGGAGGTGAAGAGAGGCTGTTGGTTTCATTTTCAAGGAATGTAGACAGACTCCTAGAGTTAAAGTTAGAGGTGGGGCTGGGACGGGAGCCCAGATCTAAATCCTCATGAAACACTTGCCCTCTCGGACACCCCAAAGGGGGCAGAGGAAGAAGGAAGTTGGGAGGGAAAGGCAGGCAGCCTTGACTTGCTATAGATTAACGCATCCCCAGTCGTGGGAGCTCTACTGTTCAGGGCCCTTCCTCCTGAGCCCGCAGGTGGCTGCCCTGCAACCTCTTACCAGGTCTCTGTGGATGACACACGCCTCCTCCAGGTAGGCCATGCCCTCGCACACGTCCAGGCACATGCCCAGCAGGGTCTCCGCAGCGAAGAGCCCCCGCTGGCTGCGCAGGTAATCGGACAGGCAGCCGTGCTCCATGAACTCAAACACGAGACAGATGGGGGCCTGCTCCAGGCACACCCCATACAGCTGGACCAGTTTGGGGTGCGAGAGTTTCCTGGAGGAAAAGGTGACAGTGAGACGGTCCGAACTCAGTCTCTGCAAAATGTACCCCACCCCAACAAAAACAAAGACATGTCCTCTGAGCCTAAACCGGAAGGATGGCAGGGAGTCAGCCGCTTTGCGTGAGGATGAATGGCGTGTTGTGAACCAGAGGAGAGATGGGTAGGAGATGAGACTCCTAAGTGGGCAAGGGCCAGGCCATGACACACCTTCCAGTCCACAGTGAGAGTGTGATTTTATTCCCCGGGCCACAGGGAGCCATTGCTGGGTTTGAGCAGAGCGCAGGCACAGCATGGCATCAGAGTGCTACTTAGAGAACACAGTGCAGAGCGTTCCCCCCAGGCATCCGCGCATGCCCGCGTGTGGACCACTCACATCATGACTTCAGCCTCCTCTATGAAGTCCTCTTCTGACATAGCTCCTTCCTGAATGGTTTTGATGGCCACCTTGTCCTTGTTGAGCCAGTAGCCAAGATGCACCAATCCGAACTGCCCGCTGCCAATCTCCTGCACAAAAGTGAGCTCCGAGGGATGGATCACCCATTTCCCTGGAGGAGACAGGGGGTTTCCCAGGGTTGGTAAGCAATAGATAGGAGGTAGTGGCTACCAGAAGATTGTATAGCCCTCCCTAGAATGTTAGCCTATCATTAATACAACCCCAAAATGGCAAATCTTATAAGTCCTAGATCTAGAGCTATCACAGATAGATAAAATGATCTTTTTTCCAAATAACAACATAGGATATGCATTTAAAACCATGAAAAATGTATGTGGGGGAGATTACATGGAAAGAGGAAGGAGAATGGCATTAAACAAGATATTAAAGAAAGCAAATGAAAGGGTTCTTGTAAGGTCCCAACCATTTTCTATACGTGGTTGAAAAATCATTATTGTCATTTTTTTCACACAGAGGAAATTTCATTTAATCAAATTTCATTTAAGGTGATCGTTCATTCACTCTCGATTTAACCATCAAGAGCACCCATTCTGTACACAGCACTCTGCTAGGCCTCAGCAGGGGTGGGAGCTAAGGAATTGGATTTGAAAAGACCAGGACAGAGGGGCCAGCCAGTACAGTGTCTGGCACCCGGTAGGCTCTCAATAAGTGTTCGATAAACAAATAAAAGGGATCTGAGTCACAATTTTCACACTGGCAAAGATGATTGGGTTCATAAATTAATCTCTGACATCCTACCCAGCATGGATACATTGGGATTCTACAGTTATTAGAATAACTTTATTTTCAGGAGACTAAAAGGCGCTTTCCTTTCCTGACACTTGGTCTAGTGCCACAGACAGCTCGATGTCTACCTCTGAGGCAGAGACTCGACAGGAAACATCCCTGAGTACCTACTGTGTATCAGACATGATGCTTGTTAGGAATGGGAGCTCATAGTAAGGAAAGCAGTACCATCTAACCACCTGGGTCAAAATCGTCTCGGGCACTTGTTTAAAATGCAGACTCCAGAACCCCTCCATCAGGGATTGTTTGGTAAGTGTTGGGGGGCGTCCAGGAGTCAACATTTTGAATAGGCACCCCATGTGACTTGAATGCATGCTGAGGTTTGAGAACCACTGATGTGGGAGATACCGAATGAAAATTACACAGCCTTCTCAGCCAGCACGGTTTGGACAAGGGGATGCAAAGTCATTGCCTTTGGGCTCCAGGCAGATATCACAAGTGGGTGAAGCAGTCCCACAGGACAAGAATGGGTAGTAGGGCCTGTGACACTGGAGATTCACGCCCCTGCTAATGGCCTTCAAAAAAATATTTCACACAATGCAAACAAACCCTTCTGGATGCTGTCAGCTTACAGCCCTTGCAATGGACCTGAACCCGACTAGATAATACAAATTTCTAGAAAAAAGGGCAGGGACACAGTACTAAGGCATTGTCACCTGGTATTTTTCTAATAGCATTTAGTAGAGTGCTCTGTACAAAGTAGGTATTCAGTAATCACTTCATTGATGAATACTTAACTAAAACCAATAGACATTGATTTGGCCAAGATAAATGTTCTCCTATAGATAACTCTTTTTCTCACGTAAGTGTTTATTTGTACACACCCTCTACACATATACAGTGTACCTGTTCTAGTGGTCATTGTAAGTCTGGGAAAGAATTAGGTTCACAGAAAGTCCATTCGGATTTGTCCCAGACCTTTAGAGATGTGAGTTTTAGTGCAAACGTCTAACATCCCTGAAGGTGCTGCTCACCGTATCTCAGCCCTGCTGTGACGGGGGCCTTCTGTCTCCAGGAACAAACCGGGTAGCGAAGCCGAGTGACCAGGCCTGGGTTGATTAAAAAGCAAAAGGCTGTGGTTAGAGCCTGACAGTACCCACCATCCTAGTTAAACCACCAGGAGGAAATCAAACCCAAAGCCCAGTCACTGATATCACACCCTCTCTGAGAAGAGCCAGGAACAGGTGGGCAGGTGGTGAAATTCCACGCTTCCTACTGCAGAATTTGCTAATGGAAAATACATACTATAAACCAATATTTGGCATCCCTTTCTGTTTGTATATTTAATTATTACATAAGGTCATCTTGTTTGACATGAAGAAACCAGGCTGGGCACCTGTCACTTTTCTCCAAGTTCCTGTGAGAGGGGCCCCCCGTCCTTGAGGACTCACCGCCTCCGTTGTGCTGGTGATAGTTGATGAGGAGAGGGATGGAATCAAACACATACTTCTCAGCCACATAGTATCGCTTGGGGTTGTCATTTGTTTCTTTGATGTGATAGTGCTTTATACAGGGGTTGTTCTCACTTAAACAAATAAAACACAAATGCAGTGATTAAGAAGAAATGTTTAGGCACAGAAACACCGACTGGTGTCAGACTCCTGGTAGCTTTGCTTTTCACCCTCTCACGAGGACGACTGATGTATTTCAGCCTGTGTCGGTGTTGACAGATTGGCCCTGGACACTGCACTAAGGACTCGGAGGCTGCTTGGGGACCCAGTTAGAGTCAGTGCTGTGATGTTTCTTCCACAGCCACTAAGTGGGGAGCGGTCTCTTATGGGCTGCATGTTTGCCTTCCCTGCTCCTGCTCTGTGGATTTAACTCATTATCAGCATGTGCTCAGGAAGCATCTCAGGCTCCTTCGCACCAATTTGATGTGTGCAGCAGAGTGAACAGAGCAGCCGTGGCTGCTGTCCTCAGAAAGGCCTGCTTCCAAGGCTGGCCCTTGGCTGGTGTCTGGGCGCTTGGATTCGGGGAGGATTCTCACCATTCTCTAACGATTGCGGGTGGTTCCTGGTGCCTACATTGTTTGTCTAAACAAGGTGGCTCTGCCCACTGCCTGCTTTTCTTCTGGGAGCCTGGAATTTTGCTCCGTGTCCAGCAGAGCCTGCCTAGGTGGCCAGCCCCCTGTGAAAACCTTGGGCGCTGAGTCTCTCATGAACTTCTCTGGTAAACGTCACTCTGCCCTGAAGAATTCAGCCTGTCCTGTGTGACTCTGCTGGGAAAGGACCCTTGGAAGCTCGTGTTTGCTTTTCGCTGGATTTTGCCCCCTGTGCCTTTTCACTTTGCTGATTTTGCTTGATTCCTTTTGCTGTCATAAATCTCACCCTTGAGTACGACTGCATGCTGAATCCTGTGAGTCTTCCCAGTGAATCGCCAAACCTGGGGGCGATCTGGGGGACCCCGTACAGCTTTAGTTCTCACTTCCTCTCCATCCCGTCTCATGGAGTGGCAAGTCGCTCTCGTCACTGTGAGGTGCACAGCATTCTTTTCCATCCCTGGACAGCACCCTTCCTCTTTGTCTCGTGTCTGAACCCTGGATCTCGCGCTGAGTCTTGCTCACATCCTCCATCCTCCCCAAGACCCTTAATAATTATTTTTCTCTCTCTTAATTCATCCTTCACTTTGGTCATTCCCAAACTTCTTATTCTTCCTAATTTTCTAATTAGAAGAGGATTTGACATCATTTTACGAAGATGGACGCTGAGGTCCTGACAGTGACGTCCATGCAGTGAGCGTCTCACTGGCAGCTGGAGGAAGCATGATGGGGCTGGACCACTCCATCTCCATTGCCTCCGGGAGGTGCCAGCAGCTCTTTGAGCCTCAGTTTCTTCTTTGCAAAAGGAGCACAGAAACACCTACCTTGAGGGCTTATTAGGATTGGAATGGTTTCTAAAGTTCTGGCACATAGTAAGGACTCAGTAGATGGTAGATAGGTAGCTGTATTAGCAGAGCAAGAACTAGAATTCATATCTTCTTGCTTCCAGCCAAAACAATCTTTTTTATTTTTCTATGTAACTAATTATGAACTCACCAAATACAGAGCCAGGTATTTTAGTTCTTCATAGCTCTGCACTCAGGGGTGCTAATTGGGAAAAGAACCTGGCCTCCAGTCCCTGCTCTGTCTACTTGCCAGCTAAGTGGCCAGTTATGTCCTTAATCTCTCTGGCCTTGACACTCTCAGGGGGATCAGAGAAAACACACCGTTCCCAGTGACCCCTTGACCTCTTGCTCTGCTGACGTTGCTGTGTGTGTCCCTTCCCTGCCCCCTTCAGGACTGTTTCTCCCCATGCGGATGGGTGAGTGAGCACCATACCTTACGATGGCTTTGGTGAAGACAGACAAGGTGTACGTTCCTGGAGTCCTGGAATCTCGTACCATGAAGGCTCCTTCTTTGCCCTGGAATGGTTAGAAAGAATGGAAGCTTAGCGATCCTAGAAAACCAGGCTCATGTGATCAGCTTGTGAACTTTCTTGCTCCTGAACAGGGGGAATTCTGTAGGCCAGCCTTGCATAGAGCAGACTTTCAGCAATCATAGCCACCATTTTATATATCCATTCAATAGATATCTCTTGAGCTCTTACCATGGGTCAGAGAATAGTCTAGTGATGATATAAGTAGTAACAAAGACAAACAGACCCAAGCTCTGACCTCTTGGATCTCACCATGTACCAGATTCGTTGCAGATACTGTCCATCTCTCACCACGACACTGCAATCTAGATGTTACTATCTTCAGTTTCCTGATGAGGATACTGAGTGCCAAAGAGCTGAAGTGACTTTCTCATGACCCATAACCGTTAAGTGGCCGACCTGGAATTTGAACCTTGAACTTGGCCTGTGAGCAAAGCTCATACTCTTTCTACTACTCCATGATGTCTCCATTCCACAAATGGTAGAAGCCACTTCTCCATTCCCCTACAAGGGCATAAGCTTTCTGTCCTGGAAGTTTCATCAGTTCCTTAATGAAAAAATACTTTTTAGGTCTTTTTCAAAGTGCTTATTTTGCTGTAGGGCAAAAGGAGAAAAAACATGAAGCTCATGGTTGCATGAGGGAAGTAGAGGAAAGGCTAAGGCCCAAACATGTACCCTTTACTCCTCCTGACAATTTTGCTAGTGCTGATAGAATCAGTATAAGCAAATGGATATAGAAGTTTATTCATTCCTGGTGGGAACTTTAAAATTTTAACTCTGTTTTGAGTACTTCATGTGTAATGCTCTCTTCCCACCCCTCTATAAATCTCTGCTGGTAATATTTACAAAACCTATTAGCTGATTTATTTAACTTAGTCATAGTGCAGTCGTTCCCTGAAGACCAGCGGAGACAGGAGCCTTGTGTGGTGGGCCTACACTTGTGACAAGTGGAGCAAAGTACATACAATTCAGAACAACACTGGCCCCTCCGCCCCCAACCCCAAAGGCGGGTCGTCTACACATAAAAATAATATCCACAGATGGCCATGCTGATTGAATCCTAGAATCTCAGGGTTAGAAAGATCCATATAAAGGTTATCTAGTCCAGGCTTATGCCAACCTCAGCACCATTGATATTTTGGGTCTGTAATTCTGTGTGGTAGGAGGGTTTCCTGTTTTACGGGATGTTTAGCACCATCCCTGGTCTCTAACAATTGGATGACAGGCATTAGCAAGTGTTCCTTGGTGGACAAAATCACCTCTGGTTGAGAACGACTGACCTGGCCTACCTACCTAAAGCCCCGGTGTCCTGAACATTGTTGGTGGTCACAATTACCCAAGACAAAACAAAACAGCAACAGCAAACAGCTGACCACGCTCCACCCCATAACCACATACTAGAGACTCCAAGGCCAGGGCCCTTGGTGCCTGACCTTTTCAAACGCTTGCCATGAGATTCTTACAGCCATTCAAGTGTGATCACCACTGACTCAGCCAAACATGCAGCCCTTCTTTAAAACAGTCTTGATGAAGAGTCTCTGTCTCACAGGATAGCACTAATAGGTAGAAAGCTTACCCTGCACAGGAACATGACCTGCTTCCTCTAATGTGGCCCTGAACCTGCAGGATGTGTATGTGAGTGTGTGTCAGTGGGAAGTGGGGGGAGGTTTGGGGCAATTTGGCCCTTACAATATTGTTCATTCTTGCCAAAAATATTGTTGACCACGTGAACTTTGTGAAACTCCCCAAGCTCTTCTTATCTCTGCTGAGGGTCTCAAGAGTCTCTTTTGAAGTTTGGGAGGGGGAGCTGGAGAGTGGGGGAATTTGAGGAAGGTGGTCAAAAGGTATGAACTAACTCGTGACTATAAGAAAAATAGTCACGAGGATGTCACGTACAGTGTGGTGACTACAGTTCATGATACTGAATTGTATATTTGAAAGTTTCTATGGTGTATTAGAAAGTTGTTGAGAGTAGATCTTGAAAGTTATAAGAAGAAAACCTTGTAATTTTGTGTGGTGATGGGTGTTAACTAATAGTGGCGATCAGTTTACAATCTACACATCTATCAAATCATTCTGTCGTACACCTTAAACTTATACATTGTTAGACATCAGTTTTTTCTCTCATTATCTTTGTGATATTCATCCATGCATCACATGTAGCATAGATTGTCTTCAAAATTTCTCTCCTTTTGCCAAAAGCTGAAGCTTTTGCTTTCACCTCATTGAAATGTGACGGGTTAAACTCAAGGCAGGAAGAAAGAAAAATTCAATAAAGGTGACTATCTGCATATGTAACTTATTCTAAAGGGGAAGAGACATGCACACACAAAAAATAAAAGGATCAGAGATTTACCAACTGTCTTGTGAAGAGGGGAGTGTGAACACCTCTTGTATTTAATTAAGAACATTTTTTGTTGGTATTCTCTCTAAGAAGCCATTTACTCTCTGGACAAAAATTTGGAATCAGAGCAGGGCTCCATTGTTAACAAGAGTGATCCACAGACATGAGACGAAGGATAGGTGAGGTCCGCAGTCGGCTCCTCCGAGCACAGGAGGTTCCGAGCTGTCCCTGCCGTGTAGCTGTCCTAGGTGACAGTCAGTGATCGCGACAGGAAACTGGTTTGGGGCTGAGGTGGCCTTGAGTTCTGAAGGAAATGAGGCATTGAGCACATGCTGTACCACCTACTTCCTGAAAAGGGCTCAGAGGAAGTCACAGCCACCAACAACACGGGGGCCTGAAGGGTCTTTGCTTGTACCACCATCACATAAGGTGGCACCGACCCGGGCAATGCAGCCTGGGGCAGGCGGGGGCAGGGGTGGAACTCACTCCCATGGGACATTTTCAAAGTCTTAATTTACCTTTTATACTTTATCTGGAAAAAATTAGTCAACAAGCAACATGAGAAAGAAAATCATTCCAAGGAGGTAAAATACATGGATAAGAAATACAGGGACAGGGATAGGAGAATAGAACTTAACTCCTATATCCTCTTATTAACCATGTGTGTGTTGTGCAAGTGTGCACCCGTGTGTGTGTATAAGAATCACCCCTGCCCTAGCCCGGACTATGCCACTGATTCACGCTCTGAACTTGGCTTCAGTGTATGTGCCTATAAAACAAAAGGAATAACACAGATGTTTTTAAAGGGAATTCTTATTCTAATGGTCTATAATTCTGTGAATTCTAGATGTTTCCTGATTAAATGTATGAGCTTCAGTTTTCCCGGCTGTAAAATGATGTTTGTAGGATTGCGGAGAGGATTAATGAAAGGCGCCTAGAACGGTTCCTGGAATGTGATACCAGAACAAGAATTATTGGCACTGCCATTACCATTCTCACCACGTGCTGTGGGGTACCCTCTGTTGGACGTGTTCATTCCACTGTCTGCTTTCATATGAGACAGGTTGACTGGGTTAGGATTATCTCTCTCTCTTTCTGTCCATATGATTTGAAGCTGATCTTACAGAAGACAGTCTTGACACATAGGTCAGGTTATGCCAAAAACAACAGACAGAGGCTTCATTGCCCTGTCACGCCACATTGTACTCTAAGAGGGTCTGACACATAGGCACTCCTTATTCTGGGGATGGTTCTTTTCTTTTCTTGAAACAAACCCATTCATAAGTCAATATTGGATCTTTAATGACAACTTAGAAGCATGGAAGTAAGATAAATCAATGTGTAAGATAAGGCTCCTGCCCGAAATCCAGGCCACCCAGAGTGTGCAATGCTGGAAGGTATGGAGGGCCTGCTTGCAAGGAATTTGCCCTCTAGCAAAATGGGTTTAGACAGAAGAGAACCTGCTGAGGTCCAAGGCAGAGTGAGAACAGTGCCACTGGAGAGTTAATGGCATTGCACTATAAGGGTTCAAAGGTCAGGAAAACCTGGGAGGGTTCAAAGGGCGAGGGAGAGCATGCGCAACTCCGTGGAGGAGGTGTTATCTGAAGACTTGATAGGACACCATAGGAAATGCTTTTCTGTGGTTCCCACGCTTAGGCAGGTCCCAGAATCACCTGAGTGCCACCTCCAGAGTTCTGATCGGTGAGGGCTGGAGTATTGGAAGTTGTATTTTTTAAAAAGCTCCCCCAATAATGCTCATGATCATCAGCCAGCTTCTCCTTAAGCACAGCTGTTAGTTTAAAACCACTTATTAGCCCTGGCTGGTGTGGCTAAGTGGATTGAGCGCTGGCCTGCAAACTGAAAGGTTGCTGGTTCGATTCTCAGTCAGGGCACATGCCAGGATTGCAGGCCAGGTCTCCAGTTGGGGGCGTGAGAGAGGCGACCGATTGATGTATCTCTTGCATGTCAATGTTTCTCTCCCTCTCTCCCTCCCTTCCTCTCTCTCTAAAAATAAATAAATAAAATCTTAAAAAAATAAAACCACTTATAAAGCATTTGATGTATTCATTCATTCAACAATAATTATTGAGCGACCACTTTGTCGTAGGTACAGTTTTGGGTTCCTACGTACAGCAGGTATGTGATAAAGGGTTTCTGTGCTAGTGGAAAAAATATGTATGGGTTAGTGCCTCAGGAGAGTTAGTTAATAAAAATGAAATAAATCCATTATTGGTTAATCATTATAAGCGCACATGAGCAGCACTTCATGAACCAGGGTGTAATGGAAAATAACAAAACTACACTTGTTTAAACTCAGTATAATCCAGGTTTTTAAATTCATTTTGCAATCTTCTCAACTGGTCAAATTTTACTATATTACCCAATCATATAAACTGAGGGAACTAGGTGCTGAGCTGGCTACACATGCAGGACAAGTTTGACTTGAAATAATGCAGATTCCCAGAAACTCAGCGGGAGATTCTGATCTGTAGGTCTTGGGTGGGCCCTGGGAATCTGAATTTTTAAAAGTTTCCTAGTGGTTCTATTGGGAACCACAGGAAAAGAGGAAATGCTAAGTCAATGTGGACCCAAGTAGGAACCCAGCGTCCAGGAATGACTCCGCTCAATTCCTCTTCTTCCACGAAACCTGTCTAACTCTGCCAGCATCTTCCCTGAACTCACAGACCCCCGAAAGCCTGCCTCGTGTGCTCCTAGCTTACCTTAGCTTACCCTCTAAGTCTTTCTTCAGAGTTTGTTTTGTTTTCCAATCGAGTCTAAAGCCTACTGAGGTCAAAGATCCTATCTCAAACACCCCTAAGTACTTCAGTCCTGTGCTCAGCAGAATGGTAAGTGCCCTGAGTTTATACTGAGAAGCCCTAATAAAGGAAATGGCGCGAATGTACCATAACTGAGACGGGCAGTAATTGAGATTAGGGACATAATAGACTGCCTGTATCTCATTGTCACTGGTAAACAAACGCACAAGGTCTTTTGGAGAACCCGCAAATGACTGAGCTTGCCCTCTTTGATGAAGACAAGGTACCTAAGGGCAGAACATCTCACCTTTTCCTCTTAGCTGCCTGCTAATAGCAACTTCCCCAAAGAAGAAAAATAAAGTTTACTGCTCCTGAATACGACTGTGGATTTTCCTTCTCCCTCCCATTTTCCTCTTACAGATATTATATGCTTTTCTTTCTGATAGAATGAACCAATCTCTTATTAGTTTTTCTTGTGCAAAAGTAAATAGACATTAATAATGAACTCTACCCCTTTAAATTATTCTTTGACAATATTCGTCACCTCTTCCCATCACAGCTTTTCATGTTCTTGACATGAAAGTTGGGCACTGGTCATCACCATGGTCTGAATATTAGACTTGGCCGCAGATATTTTTCTCTAAATCACTAACGCCTGGACCCTTCCAGTCCTAGAGAGGCCGACTTAATGAATCTGGGGTTTGGCCTGCGCACCGGTTTTTAAAATGTGTCACAGGTGATGCTATTGTGCAGACTGGCCTGAGAACCACTCCTCCTTTATGCATGCTGACAAATTAATTGATTGCTCTGTGGAGGCTTTCTCTTGATGCCTCCATGGCTTTGGTTTCTCTGCAAAAGCCATAAAGGCGCAGTTCTCAGCGCCTCCCAATGTGTGGTCTGGGGGTGGGCGCCATTGGCAAATGGGTGCTGGGCCACTGCCAGATGAAAAGAGGAACTGAGAGTAGGTATTTAGAAACTTTTTATAGCAATCGGAGAGATTATTTTTATGTCAAATAAATCTAATAGTAACTTAAAAACCGGACTGGCATTTTTGTCTTTGCTTCTTTTAAATTGCTCTCTAATAATTCATTTTTATTGTACTTTATAAACTATAAATTTGTAATGAATTGGAAATTAAAAACAAACCACCACGAAAAGGGACCCATCAGAGACATTTGGAGAGGCAGTACCCTAGAATAACACATACTCTTCTGGTCTAGGAAGAGAGTGTTCTCCTTGGGTGCCAATTCGTCAGAGGCAGCTGCTGGAACACTGTGTTGAAAAGGATCTCAAAGCCCTGGACTGTGATCAACAGTGTCCGTCATGGGACAGGAGCAAAGATTAGCAGTGTGAGTGCCAGGTAATTGTCATCCCTGACTTAGTCCAATGTTCATCTCCTTCTCATTGAGAAACTGAGGCCCAGAAGAAAGATGAGAGGTCGCCAAGGTCACGCACTGAGTTAGTGACAGAGCAGCGACCAAGGCCCTGTGCTTTTCCCACCGCGCCATGCTTTCTCTCTTCTCATCCCTCTGTCCCTTCATCTTGACGTCCCTGGTAAGATCAGGGCCACCACTCACACTGCACGCCTCTCGAGAACTGTCGCATGAAAAACGAATTCAAACTGTGGTGCGTTTCCTCTGCGCCCACAGCTCCAGCAGGCAGAAGCTGAGTCACAGCCTGTCCTCACCGAGCCAGAGAAGCAGGCGGGGAAGACAGCCACCTGGATCCCTGGTGTCAGCATCGCAGTTGGGAGACCGCCACACCTGCGGTGGTGGTTTCCTGTCAAGGCCAAGGCCTTCGGCCCTCCCCAGATTTCTTACCCTGTTGTGTGCTTGACCTGTATATCTCCAGAATATTTTTACCAGACCCAAAACTCACTGTTAATCCCATATATTGATTCATGCATTAGCATAAACCACGGGGTGGCTGAAAAGCAGCAGCGCAATTTAGAGACTTACTGTGTCCAAAAGAAGTTTCTCAGCTTTGTCTCGGCTGATACTCTTATTGTACCACCTGAAAGCAGGAAAAAAAAGTCATATGTCAATGACATTTAAACATTTTTTTATGATTTACTTATGAAAGATAATGCCAGAAATACCTTCAGGAAGGGGAATACATTTTTTATTTGTCCCAGGCTCCACCACTCCCTACTGTGTGTAGTCGGTTAGAAATCTGGGTTTGTCTCCTCTCTCATAAATGAAAAGATTCTAATGAAACATAAAAACAAGCAAAACTTCCCAGCCTGATGAGCATTTGAAATAAATGCTTATTGTTTTCTAAAGGCATTGGCTATAAAAAAAAAAAAAGAAAGAAAAAGAATTCCATTTAAGCATGTTTTACATGCGTTTCATTGAAGCTCAAGGATTCTTGGAACTGTTGACTCTCTTAGCTGAGGGTGGGGCTACTCACATGCACTGTGTCAAAATGAATCTCAAGTTGAGAGACAGTTCAGAAAATAAATGATAGCTTTTCACTGTGGAATGTATTCAAGTTTCAGCAACAAATAACTTGACCATATTTGGACTAATAAGGGCTCAAATGAGTTCACAGAAGTCCTCATAGCTAATATTCTTCAACCCTGGAATCACATATTTGGTGAGGACTTAAAAAATTATTTTTAAATAATTTCAAATGTAGAGAAAAGTTACAAGATACTATGAAAGAATCCCCATATACATTTCACTCAAATAAACCAATTGCTTACATTTGCTTTACCAGTCTCTCTGGACAGATAAACATATTTCTTTTCTGAACCATTTGAAGATAGACTTTTATTTCTAAGTACTTTAATATGTATTTTGAAGAAATAGACATTTCTATAACCATAATACAATTATCCAAATTGGAAAAGTTAACATCGATACAATACTATTATTTTTTTAACACTTTGTTTAATTTTCATCGATTATCCCAATAATGTGTGTTGTAACTTTTTTTTTTAATGATTCAAGATCCAATCCAGGATTACTCATGCATTTAGTTATCATGTCTCTTTAGTCTCCTTTAATGTGGACCAGTTTCTCAGCTTTTCTTATATGTCATGATATTTGCATATTTGAGAGCACAGGCCAATTATTTTATGAAATATCCCTCACTTTGGATTTGTCTCTTATTTCCTCGTAACTAAATTGAGATTATGCAGGAATCTGGGCAGGAATATCATGAAAGTGATGTTGTGTTCTCCATGTATCACACCAGGAGACACACAATGTCTGTTTGTCCCATTACTGATCACTGGGTTAGGATGCAGTCTACCAGGTATTTTCATTTTCATATTAATAAGTGATTCGTCAGAAGATACTTTGAGACAATGTAAATATCAAACTTTCACCCCCTATTTGTGACATTCATTGATGATTCTTGCCTGAATCAGTTGATACTTTGAGTTGCAAAGTATTGATTTTTTAAACTTTATCATTTCTTCTACATTTGTTCATTGTGACATTTCTTCAATTTTTTAGTTGAAATCCTATGGTAAGAAAGAACTTTCTCTTCTTGTTTACTTATTTTTCTTCTTATTATTTTCTTATCAAGCTATCTATTTCTTGTGGATTCTTATTTTATTCAATGGATTGTAGTCCATTGAATAATTAGATCATTATTTGTTTTAATACTCGAATTGTCCCAGTTTTGGTCAGAAGGAGCATTTTAAAGCTGACTTCTGCACTTGTTTGACATGTCCACATCATTTTAAAAAATTGGTGGGTACTTCTTTACTTTTTGGTGCAATAAGATGTCCCAAGTTCATCTTGTTCTTTCCCTGCCCTGCCTCTGAATCCCCATGCCATTTCTCTGAGAACTCCTGATCTTTATAGTGGGAAGTGTCATTTCGAAACCAAGATCTGAGTGTGCACATTGCTACTGGGGTGTTACTGCTCCTGGGTGCTACAGCAGCCGAACTAGGCAATCTCTCTACATGGTGAGTACACTGTACACTACAATCCGATGTTATTACACTTCAAGTAGTTCCATTAAAATTATAGCCACGTGAACGCTTCTAAACAATAGCTTGAAATAAACAACAATAACTAAGCAGATATTTAATACCTATTTGTCTGCTGTTTTGGTATTAGACATATTAAACCATGTTTTAAGTCAGTCTGTATGTGATCCAGTGTCCATGGTATTTTTTTTCCTTCTCAATTAAGACCAATGTTCCTGGGATTCCCAGGAGAAACTTTTTCTTTACTACAATCTGCATAGGTATCTGAGAAGCATCCTCTTCATAAAAGGGCAGGTTAGTACACATACCCCCTCCCCCATTTGGACTGGTCCTTTACTGCTATTTAGGGATCAGAGTAGGAGGAGAAGGGAATATGCTTGGTAATGTTATAATCAACCAGTAATTTATTTCTAATCTAAGGAGGTCTCCTTGGTACCATATTTTTGTAAAATAAATACAATATCTTACTCATAGGTTTCCAGGTTATTTGCAGATTTCTCCACCAGATAACTGCTTGGTACATATCCTTCATGCCTGTTAAAAGGGAAATCAGTGTTTAGACTAACATAGGACTCATTTTCACATCTCCATTCTTAAGTTTAAATCACTGAAGTCACTTATAGAAGAGAGAGCCTTGCATCATTTGCCGTTCCTGATAAGACATTTCAAAGTTTCAGAATAAAAGCATTGCTAAAAATAACAACTTGCTGTCTGCTAGAGACAATAGCTTCACTACTAAAATATGAACCGTAATAAATAAGACCTGGCTATTTTGCTTAAAAAGCATTGCTTGCTGTTGTCCTCGCTGTGAAAGTTCCCTACCGGAAAAAAAAGATCAGTGCGCAGTCTCTATTTTCTATAAGGAAACATTTTTCTGAGTGTGATAATCAGTATTTTTTTCCACTTTAATGTTACTATTTTATAGTCAGGAAACCCAAATAATTAAGATATTTAAAAAATTACTTTCCAACCACAGCTGCCAAAAGATACTGCCAGTCAGCATTGTAAGTTCTAATTCATGGCTTCCCTAATATTTTTTGTTAATTGAGCTCCTTCAGACATAAATTGTAAAACACGAGAAAAAAGGTTAAAGTCATGTTGGATTTGGGAATGGGAGTCTCTTTTGAGCAGGAATAAATAATTGTGCATAACCAAAGATTAAGAGACTAATAAGCACATCAAAATACTTCACGTTTGTGTGTAGGTTTGTACTTTTCAAAGCACTTTCACATTCGCTATCACATTTAATATCACAAGGTGAGAAGTTTCCTTCACCCTCTTCTTGGTCTCTGACTCTGTACCTGTAAAACGAGGGACCTAAATGAGATCCCACACAAAATCCCTCCACACCCTGCCAGTCTATCGAAAGATGCCTGACAGTTTCTTGCTGTTTACTCCATAAAGTGTTTTGCCATTTTTCAATCTAGTGATTATGTGTATGGGGAACATGTAATCTTTTTCACAGAATTGTCTCAAAGTTTGAAGAAAGCAAGAATGGGGATGTCAAATATGGGATGACTATCTCATTTCCTGTGCCCATGGCTGACGTTGCTAGTCAATAATGGCATGCTTTTTTTTTTTCAATTGGACATCCTGCCTCAGAATCCTCCTTAACACAGTGCCAGCTGCTGGGAGTCAACTCGTTCTGCAACTTGCTAGTTCTTCTATACCTCTCTTTGAGAATTCCCCTTAATTATATCTATTTTTGTCACACCATATGTTTACAATTGTGTTAATAGGTCAAATACTATTTTTGCTTTCAAATAGAGTAACTGTGCTTTAACATGCCAACCAAAGCTGGGTTAGCTGCACACATGATGGCCATTCTCTTCACGCGCGTGTGGATGTAGCATTTACGAAGCCCTTTCACTTTCATCATTTCACTGCTTTTTTCCACGTTCTGGGCCAGTCAAAAGTGATATAATCTTCTGCATTTTACAAATAAGGAAAAGCATTCACAGAGGTGAAGGGACTTCTCGGAGCAGCAAGAGGAGCTGGCACTGAAGTCCAGCTCCTCCATCTTGCCCTCTCGTGTGCTTTCCACCACATGGCACTATTACACAGCAAAGGGTGGGGGGGCATTCCCATATGCCAATTGGCCTCTGGGGTGTCCTCTTCAAAGTCCTTTCAAGTGCAGAGTTGAGCTTTTCCACAGGCCACTGAACAAAGGGTAAACTGTCATTTGGGAAAGTGAGACCTAGGGGAAGAAATTTCGCCCCTCAGGTGTGCCGAGTAAATGCCAGTTGGTTCAAAGGATGGGTTCTGAGTAAGGTCCTCTGGTGTTTGCGGAGCCAGGCGGTCTTAACCTGTTTCTGATATGGCCTCCCTATACGGGCACAATAGTGCTTCTTTGTGGAACAAACCGCCAATCTCCCAAACGGTGGACGGCAGTCGAAAAACCCAGGTGATTTTTAGATGAGTTTAGGGGCCAAGAATGCTTGATGGGGGGCAAGGAGCAAGCATAGCAAGTGACGGCCTCCCAGCCACATCTGAGGAGGGGCAAGGCGCCCGGCAACAAACTCTGCCTTCTTCTTCCTTCTGCCTCTGCCCCCCGCCCCTAACTCAGTGCAGTGGTCATGCAGAGCGAAGCAGGACAAATCAGCCCAGCGTTTTCTTTGTTCCCACCTCATCTCAAACCTGGACAGCAGCCACGAAGATGCCTTACCCGTTCTTGTCTTGAACCCTCCACCAGTGAATCTCAGAGCTGTCTAGCAGGTAGTACTCCTCGTTGCGCTGTAGCGTCAGTTCCTGAGGATCGTTTGCTTGGTAGTCATACAAGGCAATGACCAGGGTTTCTTCATGTTCGTGAAGTGACCGCTGGAAGGAGGAGAAAACAAAGTCAAGCAAAGGCGCAGACAGGAGGTAGTCTCCATGGCGAGGTCAGCAAGTCCCCGAGCGGTAAGTTGCTCCCGGATGGGTGCTGGGTCAAATACCTTTTCCTGAAACCCTTAGGGGTGTTCTCTTAGACAGCTGCCTTCTTCTAGTTGGCTTTCTTCACGTGTTAGGGCTTTGGTGCTGACTGTAACACAGTGACATGCAGTACCTAGAATTCATCACCCCGCCCATTCTACGAGGTAAACTCTGACAAAGTGAATTCCCAGCATCCACCTGCGTGTCACAAAAGTCTGCTGATTGCTCTATTTGTACCATGTCGTAGGTTGCACCCTCTCTGCGAGAGGCATCACACTCTTGGCGAAGGTGATATAATCAACACTAAATCATTTAGTCCATGCCTTTCTGATTTGATTTGTGGGTTTGTCCGGATCCATAGCATCATAGGCCAGAACTCCTCTGAGAGCTCATGTAATTCACTCTTTTGTTTATAATGGGGAACTGAGGCCCAGATGGAGAAATGGACGTGGCCCAGTTTAGCACTTGAATTAGTCTTATTGCTCTTTCTACTATAGCACATGGGTTCCCTTCTTCCTCTTGTGGGTTCTGTTGCTTACATCTCTACTTCTCAGAACCTTCCTTAGGATGAGCGATTAAGGACGAGAATAGGAGTCTGTAAGGCAAACAAGTTCCGGGTGGGCATACCTGCTATGGGATGGCAGATTTTTGTGAGAGAGCAAATAAGGGAAGAGATTGCAATTACTGGCAGAATGAGGTTTGTTGTTATAAAAGTGAAAAGCTCTCTGAGTACTTGAACTATTTGATAACATAAAAATACTAACGCTAAAGTAAAAAAGTTTCCATAGTGATGTAGTACGTCATCCTACCTGAGCCCAGATTGGAATTTGAAGCTTAGGTATTTGTGGAGCTTGTGAAGTGGTGTATTGATTTCAATGAACAGGAATTGATGGGCCTTGAGGCTTTTACCCTAAGAGCTAATGGAAGAAGGAGTTGTGTTCAAGGGCACTTGAAGATAAAGAAGAGATATGACTATTCCACCGTCTCTCTCACACAGAGCATCAGGCCTATTAGCTCAGACTGGATTAAAAATATAGCATCTCTAGACCCCCTTTCAAGATGCCGTCACCCATTAGGGGCCAGAGCACAAAGGGAAAAGGAGAAATAAATTCAAGTGGCTCAAGGTGAGAAATGTTGCAATGGATTGAGACGTGCGGTTGAAACCAGAACAATGATTGCAAAGGCCCTGTGGTCAGCGGGCTGAAATGGCAGGCTGCCCCCCTAAGAGTCTCCAAGAACCCAATGGCAGAATCCAAAGAGAGATGGACGGACAGTGTACTGGGCCTTCACCTTCACTGATGGTAAAATAAGACAAGGACAGCCTGGCTTAAGGCATATAGAGGTGTGGGTTTAGATAAGACTGTGGGGAGAGGGGAAACCATCTGCATGCGAGGGTGGGGAGGTTCGGAACCATGTCTTCAAGAAACAGAGTGAAACGTTCTTTAGAAGATCAACAAAAGGAGAGGGGAAAGAGCTCATTTTCTGCTACAAGGTAAGTCTACTTCTCTTCCGCTGTGAGGGATTAGGCTGATGACAACTTAAAGCCCAGCCTGAGATTTGGAGATACTGAGGTCTTCTCTCATGGGGAAGCTGCCAGTTTTTGAAATGTCAGCATATTGGCTGGAGGGAAAAGAGCAGAGCTCATGCTTCAGGATGAAGCCCGAGGAAGCAGAACCAGTAGGTTCTGGAATTAGAGGGCAGTTACTAAAAAGCGGTTTGGTGTTGCCATGACCATAATGGGAGGGCTGAGCTTTTCTCTTATTTATTTATTTATTTATTTTTTGTCTTCTTGACTAAGTCGCTTGCCCAGAGTTGGTTTGATGTCACCTGTCTTGTAAGACAGTGTGTTAGGCCTGTGTTTCTCAAACTCCAGGGAGCCTCAGAATCACCTGGAGGCTTGTTAAAGTGCAGATCGCTGGGCCCCTTCCCCACAGTTTTGGATGCAGTAGCTCTACGGTGGGGCCCGAGAATCTGCATTGAATTTCTAACAAGCTCCCAGGAGATGCTGGCACTGCTGGTCCATGGTCCAGACTTTGAGAAACACCCCTCAAATTAGAGACCACCCCCCACCCCCAGAAACTCAGCAGCCTGCCAGTTTGACACTTAAGTGGCTGAATGGCCCAGCGGGGGGTTCCCAAAACTGCTCTTGGGACTTGATTTCTCAAGCTTTCAAAAGAGAGTAAAACTCTAACTCTCTTAAGCAACTAGAACTGATAGGGAGTTTTGAAACAGATGGCAAAAGTATGCAAGTGCTTTGAGAAATATACAGTATCAAATGCACACTTCCACAGTGCCTCTATGTAGAGTAAATATGCAATCGTACATAGATGCGAGCTGCTAATATGCTCCCAAGTGGTCAGGGGGCTGGACACACAATTTGATACCAGTAAGTGGTTGTTGGGTGAATAAAGTGTGGTGAAGATGTAGCAGCTGAGGGGTCTTTTTATGTGGACAGAGCCATGGGACCGCTCAGGCCCCATGTATTGAGTTCAGCTGAATCACAACAGTTCATTGCATTTGCCAAGGATTTGAGAAATCCGGGCTGGCAGGACAAATGCAGGCGGGAACAGGCCCGTCACGCAGCCTGCAGCACGGCGGGCCCCCGCGCCCCGCTCCCACTCACCCTGTTGTCTTCAGGAGTAGGAGGAAGAGGCTTCTTTGAAGCTGAAACGAGAAAAACAGAAAAAGAAAATGAGCCTGAAACTGAACAGCCCCAACCGGAGGTGAGCAGGAAGGGGGCTTTTCAGAGACAAGGGGCCCCGAGGAGACGGTGGGACACAGAGAAACAACGAGCGGCCCTGGCAGAACCTCTGCTGTGTCTGTCTCAGCCTGTGGTTTCCAGTTCCACTTTCTAGGCGACACTGGGAACTTCCAGAAGCCAGTATTCTGGGCCTCTTCGGCTGTATTCCTGGGCAAAGACTTCCTCCACGGTTGTGGCAGGGGGGTTAGGGCCTGGAGCCTTCCATGATGGCACCTGCCACCTGCTAAGCCCAGGAGTGGGAATGGGTGACTCAGGGGGACCGTGACTCACTGGCTTCCTGATGCTGTTGTGGCTTGAAGAGGGGGTGGGTGAGGGGGAGGTCACCATGCTGCTTTTTGAGAGGCTGAAATCTACTTTTAGTTACATTAACACCTCTGAACATGTGTTCCCGTTGCCGCCCCCAAACACCACACCCCAACACCCCTTCTCTGTTTACCTCTTTATGTTTCCATGTTGCCATGTCTCCCTCTCTTTACCTCTCCTCTCTCTGCTCTTTTTTTCCTCTTTTCTCCTCTCTCCTTTTCCGTCTCTCCTTCCTATCACCTCTTTACCTTTGAGACACTGAAAGGTTAGGCCTGGGATCAATGGACCAAGCATGGGTGCCTGGGTGTTGTATGGGAACGGCTGCGCAGGCTTCTGCTCAACTCAAAGATTTCTTTAACGATCAGAGATAAGAAAGGACTGCACTGTAGAAGTAAGTGGTGAGTTCCTTATCTTCTCATGAGGTTGACTTGACGTTGGACGGCCCATGTCAGGGATGTGGTAAGAGAAGGTTCACACAGACACTGGAGCCCAGCCCTTGCGCTAACTCCTTGAGCAAGGGCAGGGTGGGGTATTGGGAATGCAATTCATAGAAGGAAAACCAACATAATAGGAAGCATGATTCCTATTCAACACTGAACTTGGAGCCAGGAGACTGGCCTTGTAACCCCAGCTCCACCACATACCAGCTGTGAGGCCTTGGGCCCCTTCTGGCCCTGAACATTCCGTGATTGGTCCCTTTCTTCCTCTGGCCTTGTTCTGCCCTTCCTTCCTCACCCTCTTTGTTACGTGGTGAGATCAGGGTCAGTTTGGGTTGCAGAAATAAGTGCTGCTGTGGGTTGGGTATAGCAGGGTCCTTTTGTACTCAATCACCTTATCTGCCTCCCAGCCATACACACACATACCACAATATCTCAGCTTCCCATTCTTTTGTCCACAAACGAGAAAGACTAATAGATACAACTGCCATTTATTGAGGGCTCAGTAAGCACCAGCAGCTGTGTCAAGAGCTTTGCAGAACCCAAGGCTTGCCACAGCCCAACAAAGGAGCTGCTTATTATCATTGTCCCCATTTTACAGGTCGGGAAATGGGCTCGGAGGCTCAGACTTGGTTAAGTGACATGCATGAAGTCTCATAGCAAGGAAATCATGGGGCTGGGACTCACGCCCAAGTGTTTTTCACCCCAACAATCTGTGATCTTGGACCCTACTCTGTAAGTGTGCCCAACACCAGAATTCTACAAGCTTTTGCCCAGAGCCAATGACCATGTGCTGTGTGCACGGTGCAATGTGCTTCTTGGATACTTTGCCGTCAATTCCGTGAGTGCTATGGTGCATGAGGTTATTTAAAGCGGGTCAGAAAGACTGCAATGAGTACGTGCTAAGATGGGGACATGATCGTAGGTGACAATGCAAAAGCAGCACCACTGGGCAAAGTGGCTGTCCAGTGGTTAGGCCCAGGGTTCATGTGGGCAGAAGCTCAGCATGCCCAGCTTCCCCAGGTGTTATCCTGGTGAGCTGTTCAGGTGGTCCTCACACCCAGTCATGTGCCCACCACTCAGTGGAGGGAGACACTGCGCACCATGAAGGGGAACAGCTATGACATGCATAGTGGAAACAGCACATGGAAACACAGATTCCAAGAATTTCAAAATTGGAAAGGTAGTTAGTCAATATTTCATCTTAGGCCCACTAAAACTTCCCTTACCATTTCAGAGATAAGGACGTTAGGGTCCTTAATGGTCAAGAGACTCATCCGAGGGCCCAGAGCAAGGTGTTGGCAGGAATTTGGAGACCAGATTTCTGGCTTTGGAAAAAGGGTTTTCACTCTCTGAGGCCAGCACAGGCCACCCTGTCATTGTGGTGGATTCCACCCATATAAAACCTTCCATTTCCTTTCCATTCAATACTCATCTTCGTGAGGATGGTCAACATGGCTAATGCAGAGGACCATTGACTTCTAAAATTAGATAAATAGTACTCTTCTGGGCCAAGGGACTGGTGATCTTGAACTTTCTCTTCCAAGGTGGAGGGTGAGAAGTAGTGGTTTTTAAAGTGGTACCACAAGGGGCTATGACTCAAGATGCCACGGAAAACCCAGCCATGAGTTACATTTAGCACATCCGCCTCGGGTTGTCAATCTGAGAGGTATTAGGCTTTAGTGCAAAATGGAGACTGACAGATGAGAAAAGGTAACTAAGGTAAGAGAAGTTGAGAGGAGAGGAGAATGGGAGCAAAACAATCTACATGATGGATCCATTATCCCTGTTCAACAATGGCTTTGCAGAGAGCACATCCTAGTTATGTGAGCTTGAACATACCAAACTGCTCAACTCTTGTCTTTCTTTAACATCATGTCAAATGCCTGAGGTGGTTGAGAGAAATGGGAGAATACTGCATATAAAAGTACACTAGAATGGAGCTGCACTTCATCGTGAGTTCAGGTCCCAAAGTTATCGCATAAGATAAAATTGAGTTGCATTCCAATCCCCAGGACCTGGGCCTTTGCCCTCAAAGGCCAAGAAATGATTACTTTTGTTTTCACTTTGCAGGTAAGCTGTGGCCTCCTTTTCTCTGAAATTGTGGGCAAATTTGAAAGGGAGGTGGGGAGAAGCCACCGAGCAAAATATGTTATTTTGTTTTTAATTTCTTCCCCCTCCAAGTGTATAGAGTTGAACTGGTGTAATTAAACATTTGTCTGATGTGATGACAACATAAAAAATAAATGTTCTGTACCTCGTAAGGCTGTCTCTAATTTAAGATTTAAGTAGGCCATGTCATTGGAATTTCCTAACTTGAAGGTTAAAGCAGTGCTTCTCAAACATAGCTATGCGTACCAATCTCCTGGGGATCTTGTTAAAATACAAATTCTGATCCAGAAGACCTGGGATGGAGCCAGGGAATTTGCATTTCTAACTAGCTCTCAGGTGATGTTGATGCCGCTGGTCTAAGGACCACATTTTGAGTAGCAAGGAGGTATAGAGATGGAAAAAGAATCAATAGATTGGGGGTAGAGGCAGATGATTTCCCTCTGAAAATTCTGAAAATGTAGAATTTTGCATTTAATCTCTGACATCTGTGGTGATGGGAAGCTGAGAGCTTTTACTTCTTATTAGTAAAGAGGTCATTTCTTTTGTAAAGAAGAAAGGGAGTTTTCAGTGTCTTACCATTCTTGGTTGGATCGTACTGGGCACAGCCCACTGCAAGCTTCTCCAGCTGGGCACAGCACCTCCACCTCCCGTCCATCCAGAAATTAGGGTGATACTTGGGTACCAAACTGTTATTATTCCTTGTTTCTGAAAGGGGTTAGCACCAGGAGAAGAGTTATATCCAGATCAGTCTTTTGAGTCAGAAGTATGTCCCCTTCCCCAGGCCTATACATATATATGCACAGGAGTGCTTGTTGGATTTAGTCATCAGCGGATCTGGTTTCCCGTCTGGCTCTGCCTTGGGTTAGTGGCCTGTCCTTGGATTGGGCAAAACCCTCATCTGCGCCTCAGTTTTCCCACTGTGCAATGAGGTTGTTAGACTGGATCAGTGGGCCCCACAACAGTGCCTAAGGGTAATGGGAAGACTGAGTAGGTGGGAATCCCACTTTCCCTCTCTCCCACCTCCAGCCATGGCAACTTTGCTTTTACCCCTTCTACGTTTGTGGTTTTAAAGTAAGGCTATGGTAGGAAACACACACACACACACACACACGACTCTTGCTGGAAAAAAGTATAAAAGCCAGAGAACTGGACAGATTATCTTCAATGCTGCTTCTAGTTTTAACATCTACGAGTTAGAACCCCCCCCCCACCACCCCCGCAGAGGGAGAATGGCCAACGATCGTAGTTGGAGCCCTTTTGATTGCTTTTACTCCAGTGTTTGTTCTGTGCCCCGTGACTGTTATACTTGAGAGCACTTTCCAGTTTACCCAGCACTTGCCTGCTCATGTGCCATTTGAAAGATGATAAGACTTGCATTTTTATTCTTATTTTTCAGATAGGGGCATTGTGGCTCCTGAGATTTCAAATGGCTTGTTTACCCCGAGTCCCCATAGCTACTTAGAGACAGATCAGTATTTGAACCCAGTTCTCCTGCAAATCCAGAGCTTCAGGTTAAATAATATTAATAGTAATACTGATTGAGTGCTTCCTTTTGGTATTGTCCTGTGTCTGATGTATCCTGACCCATTTAACCCTCACAACCACCCCATGAGTGTGACTAGTCAGAATTCACAGCTCAGGATATGGAGATACTGAAAGGTCAAGGAACTTGCTCAAAGTTATTCACATTAATCATTGGCAGAGCCGGGATAGTCACCTTAGCAGCCTGGCTCCGCGTTCCAGGGACTTAAACACTGTGCTGGTTCTAATTATACTCTCAGAAGGGCAAGCCTTAAGAAATACCCTCACTGATGCTCAAAAAACCCTTAAAGCTAGTTAACATTTACTAGGTGCTGATGATGGGCCAGGCTAGTTCCAAGGGCTTTACTCACAGCAGGTTTGGAGCCAGGCACTATCATTATTCCCTCCTACACCCCCTTTTAAAAATAGATGGGAAACTGAAGCACAGAACAATTGAGGAAGTTGCCCAAGCACACATGCCTAGTAAGTGGCAGAGGCAGGATTCAAACTCAGGTCATCTAACCGAAGGGACCACGCTTATGTTCTTTATCACATACCAGAAGTCAACAAACTTTTTCTTAAAGGGCCTGAGAGTAAATATTCTAGGTTGCTCCCTAGCAGGCAAAATCGATATATTATATAGGTACTTGTATAACCCTTTAAAATGGAACCATTTAAAAATATAAAAACCATCCTTAGCTTAGAGCCTTGCAAAAACAGGTGATGGGCTGGGCTTGGCTGACCCTGCACTGTACTGGTTGTTGCCTCCTGGGCCCAGAATAAAAGGTTGGTATCTTCTACCAACACCAAAAGGGAGGAATGTTTGACCATCAGTTGCCCTTTATTCTACTGTGGAAGCCAAGCCTACCAGAGGATCCAGGGGTCTCGGGGACTCAGCCACACAGGAGGCTGATTACCTTCTTTAAGGGCCAACACCCAGCGCTGCCGGCTCTCGCGGTCTGGAGCAAACACATACAGGAGGTAGTTGTCATGCACAACCTGGAGGTACACACAGAGTTCAAGGTGAGCACTGAGCCCAGAGATAGAGGCCTGATAACAAGCACATCTGGCTTACTGGGCCAAGAGTGGGACCTCAGTGTTTGTTGTCAGAAAGGCAAACTCTGGATGATCAGGGGACCAGTGTCCTTTTCATCCAGATGTTTGGGTGCTGTGCAGATATACTTTGAATCACCACAGCTTAGGCTGCTTGTCTGAGGTTCAATGTTATCTGTGAGCTATCGCTAAGTTAAAACAGCTAAAGAAACAGTTCTCCTGACAGCACCTTTATTTCTCACATTAATTGTTTTAAAAATAAAATCTTTCTGGCATATGAAAGAGTGAGATATTAGATGACAAATATAAAATTGGAATTTTAAAATCTTCTACTTTTGAAACAATGGAAGTCTCCCAAGAAGTTCCAAAAATAGCACCGAGTTCCTGGATACTTTTCACCCACCTTTCCCCAGTGATAACTTTTACATAACCACGGCACATTTTCAAAATGAGGAAATTGGCACTGGTCCAATACTATTAACTAGGCTACAGATGTTTTTCAAATTTCAGGGTTTTTTTTCACACACTCGTTTGTAGTTGGAATTTTAATGACAGGAAAATGAATGTTACTCCTTTTACTTTCAGCCTTAAACATTCCAATGGAGGTTACCTTCCTAGTAGGAAAAAAGACCTTTTCTTTAACACTCAGATCGTTAAACAAGAATGATACCACAGGATATGCGAGGAGTTTTCCACTTCTTGACAGCCACAAATGCCAAGAGTAGTAATAAGATTTAGACAATGTCACAGTTTAAAGACTAAAGATGCCCTTCACCCGCTCTGTCCAATAGAACTTTCCACAGTGATGGTGATATTCTATCATCTGTGCTGTCCAATACAGTAACTACTGGCCATGTGTGGCTACTGAACATGTGAAATGTTCATTCATTCAATGTGTCTTAATATGACTTGAAGCTAAAGTTCTAATACTGTTTGATTTAAATGAATTCACATTTAAATTTAAACATCCACACGTGGGTGGTGGCTACTGTATTGAACAGCATAATTACAGATAGTTCTCAGATAGTAAAATCTGGTTCCTTTGAACCCCAGTACCTCCAAACAAGTTCTAACCAAGAATTGCAACCAGTCACCCCAAATCATGAGTAAGCTGCACTTAAAGACCTAAAGGCTTTGGGCCTTTGGTAGTTTATTTCTCCTCTCAACCCCAGCCTGGAACAGAGGTCTTAGGAATTTCCTTGAGCTGGGGAAGACATAGGGAAAGGGGAACGAAGAATTACAACATTTTCAGGATTTTGTGCTTAATCTGTGTTAAATGAATGAATGAGTAAATGAGTGAATGAATGAGTGAATGAATGACTAGTTGAAAGAACACCGCAGCTGTCTTTTGGTCTTGGTCTGACTTCCAAACCTGGACCAGAGTCATCCCTGTCTCGCCTCTTACAATGACTGAGGGTTTCAGCCACCATGGAAGGTATGAGGAACTAGTCCCCTCAGGCACGATGGACTTACCTGAAAAGGATATTTATAGTGGCAAGGGATGCTTATGTCACTTTTCACAATCTCAACACATTTGATTCTGGAGAGTTCAATGGAGCCCTTCAATGTGCGCTTTTTCTGTGGGAAGAAAATGCGCATCCCATTTAAAAAGAGAGAAGACAATATTTTTTCCAGGTTATTTCCAGAAATCCATCGCTAGACAAGATCCATTAGTTTTATAAACCAACCCCCCAAATATCCAGAAGCTATTTCTTTGCCCTCCGTGGCTGAGGAGGGCACTCTGAGCAGACTCCTATGAGAACATGCTTTTTAAGTTTTCTTGATGGAGTGGCTGATTTCTACTCATTGAACCATAGTATCTTATATCCCAGTGACCTTGCGACAAACAGCAGCATTTGCAGAGCTTGGACCTGGGATGGGTAGTGCAGTCTACAGGAAACAGCCACACACATGCCAGTTTTCTCTGCTTCGTTCCTATCCACAGCCTTATTAACTCAGTAATTGAGCTCAGGCCTGACCTGGATGGTGACATATACCTTTTGTGGCCCCTTTCTTTTCTGTATCTGGCTTCTCTGTGTCCCTTAGTTATCCATAGTCCCACAATGACAGTCCTGTAGCACATTCCTTACTCTGCTCTATCACTATCCCTTCTCCACACCTCCATCAAATCTTACCGGGCTCCATGTCTCCTTCATTGGGAAGCTTGTTAGATGTTGTTTCTTTGATAACTAATTCATACAATGGTCTTCATGATTTATAATGATGTTACATGTTACACATTTTTTAAGCGTCCTTGTCCTTGGAGAGTGGATCCCAGGGGATGTTACCCAATAGGACTGATTCTATGAGTGGACTATCAGGCTCCATGGAAGGCTAGTTAGGGAAAAGCATTTGGAGATCAGAAGCCTTTCACAGGCACCTAGAATTAGGCCTCCATTGAGAATAGAGTTTAATTCATCTTGGAACCAGTTGCAAAACACTTCATTACATTTTTCCCCTTAGAAGATAGCAAGTCATGGTGAATTGGGCAAAAGGTTGGAAAAGGCTAGGTTCAAAGTTGTGCTCTGCCTCTAAGTAGCTCTGTGACCTTGGACAATTCATCTGACCTCCCTGAACTTCAATTTCCACATCTGCTAAGTGACAATAGTAATGTTTACCTTTTAAGGGTTGATTAGGAAAAAAAATGGGAAATGTAATTATGTTGTTTATAACAGGTACCCTCAATAAAGTATACCCTCTCAACTAAAGAGGTTAAGGAAGTCATATGGCAAGAGAGTTGTGATGTATGAGTGCACTTGGTTGGTATTCAGGAGCCATGGCATTATCAAATTCTTAAGAAGTAAGATCAATCTTTACCTTCCAGTTTTTGGTACCAAGACCGGTTGTTGGCCTTTGTGTTAGTAACTGAGGCATAGAACTGAGATGAAAAAAAGCCAAGATGTGAGCAGTACCTCTGATCAAATACAGGGAAGCTTCCCAACATTTCTCTTTAAATTTTCTTTCTAAAAATCTACTTTATTCATTTTTAAAAGTACAAAATCTATCCATGGTCATTGCAAAAAAAAAATATGGACGTATATGAAGAAAATATTTATACTGTCTCACCCTCCCCTTCTCCACAACCCCAAAGCAGTCGAGGCTAACCATTTGGAATGTGTTGTCCTTCCCACACACATTTATAGGATATAGACAAATAAAAACGAGCCTCTGTCCCACACAGTAGTCTAAAACCACTTTGTAATCTAGTATTGTATGAAGAGGTTAGTCTCCCCTTAAAAGCCTCTGAAAACATGTGCATTTTGGAATCAAACTATCTTTTCATGTACAGTCTTCCACAGCTAGAAATATATGTCCTGATTCTGCCCGTAATCGCGGTCTGTGGAATGTTTAATCTGGTTTTCAAAAACAGAAGAGTACAAGGGAACAGTCTTTTCAACAACCATCTGCTGCTATGTGTAAACAGGGAGTCTAAGCTTTGAGGTTTTCTTGTTTTTTGACCTCTGTTGGGTTATTTCCTTAGTTGTACACACAGTGAAATGCAACAAAAGGTTCACAGCAGTAACAGGATGACTCCATTTGCTGACATTTTTATCCTCGGAACCCACTAAGTCCTATGCTCCCTGAGAATAAAGATCAGCCTCAATCAGACTTAAGGTTAATGCAGTTAGCCATTTGGAAAGCACTCATGGCAGGCCAGCTATGAGCGGGGCAACGTTCTGAGAGCAGGAAACAGAGAGACAAACACAGGAGACTTTCCCCTGGAGCTCACAGTCTAGTTGGGAAGACAGGCAACATCAGCAGCACTATAAAGACAAAAGAACAGGTTGATGCCATCCACTTGTGGTCAGAGCAGGTGCACGGGTGTCCAACCGTTTGGTATCTCTGGGCCACACTGGAAGACGAGTTGACTTGGGCCACACATTAAATACATTGAAATGCATAACCACAAAAGAAATCTCATAATGTTTTAAGTAAGTTTATGACTTTGTGTTGGGCCGCATTCACAGCCACCCTGGGACACACCCAGCCTGTGGGCCGCAAGTTGGACACCCCTGCTAGAGGAAGGGCATTCGAGAAAAGACCAGAAAGTTGAAAAAGGAGTAGACATGAGAAGGTCTGGGGAGTGAGCATCTTAGGTAGAGTGAACAGCAAGAGCAAAAGCTCTGAGGTAGAAAAGTTTTGGGTAAGTGCTGGTTGTCAACAGCCTGAGATCATAACCAGGGTATAAAGTGGAGGTAAATAGTAAATGGAGTCATGAACAGGGATAAAAATTCTATATGAAATTCTAAAGCAGCACTGTTCAATAGGAACATAATGTGAGCCAAATATGTATTGAAAATTTTCTACTAACCACACCAAAAAAAGCAAAAGGAATCAAGGAAAATTAATTTTAAAAATATATTTTGTTTAATACATATACCTAAAATATTATCACTTCCACATGTAATCACCATAAAAAATTAATAAGATATATTACATTTTTATAGTAAGCTTTGAAATCGTGTATTTTACAACACTCACAACTTGGACATGCCACATTCCAAGTGCTCAGCAGCCACACATGTCTGGTAGCTACTTTATCGGACAGTGTGGCTCCAGGATTTCCCAGAGACTCTTCTCTAAACTCAGATGATCTCCTTTGATTTTCTAATATTCACTGATTTCAAACATGGATTTTAAGAGACATTTGTGCCTTAACTGCCTGTCAGGTGAGCCTACTGTCAGGTTTGCTTTTCTGTTGGGTGAATTTTATGTTCCACTGTCAAAACTCTCTTATTCCCAAATGCTCACCCCTCACAATCCATCCTTCTGGGTCAGTCTCTCCCAAGGCCCTCAGGCCATTCTTCTTGGATCCCACAAGATCTGACAGGTGATAAACAACAGGCCAGTGGTACCTTTCCCCCGCCAGCACTGGGGAGCAGCCAGTCACCGAGCTAAACATAGCTCCTTCTCTGGCAGACAGTGATTGCCTGTAATCATCCCAAACAACTGTGCTATTTCTGAAAAATGCCAGGGTAAAACCTTCCAAGGAAGCCACACAAAAGCCACCAGAGAAAGAGACATACCAAGTAAAACATGCCTTCATTCTTCTTTGTTATTCTGTCTGCATCATTCGAGGTGAAAGTCACAGAATTTCACTTGGCCTTGTCTCCTTTCTTGGCCATGTTCAAAGCTGTCCTCATATTCCAAAGCCTCACCCCGGACCTCTGACACGCGTCCAACATAATCCGACAGGAAGCTGATGCCCGTATATTTGTTCAAAGGCAAGCTTGTGAAAGTGTCTTTTATATTTTCTTTCTCCTTATAATATTTGTGTGAAATAGAATTGTGGATTGTGACTTTCAAAGAGAGTGGCAGGAAATAAAACAAAATAAAAGATAATGTTTTGAGCACTTATACTTCAGGCATTCAATATGTCATTTTATTTCATCGCCAATTCTCATGTTTAAGGTGAGGAAGTTGAAGTTCAGAGGGGCTGAGTCTCTTCGTAAGTGGAAGAGTTAACTCGATGACTCCAGAGTCTTATCGACTATGCTTCATGGCTTTGCGCTTGCCCTGACTCTTCACAGGAGACTTTCCTTCTCCAACCACCACTGAACAATCAATTGTGTGACCAGTTTCTCCAAGCCAATAGAGATATGTTTTTGCCCCATTTGGTCGTGCCATGCTTATGCTGGATTTCAAACGAGAAGTGTTTTCCCCTGGTTCCTCAGAATAATGTAGGTTCTCATTTCTCCATATTATTGGCTTCTTGGCTGTTCAGCTAGTCCAGCAGATACATTAGTGAGAAGTTACATGTCCGATATCCAAGAAAGAGGGTATTTCTACGCTTCTTAAAAAACAGCAGAATGTGAGCTTTCTGCTTTGGTGGGGCAGAGTGGGACAGACACAGAACTTTTAGGTCAGGAAGTTGTGTAACCTGAGACAAGTGCCTTAACTTCTCAGTTGCTGTGTGTGTGTGTGTGTGTGTGTGTGTGTGTCTGTGTTTTAAGTAGGAATAATAACAATCCTTCAGTCATGGCTTAATTTACTGAACTTAAAAGAATGACATAGGCCTTGGCTGAGTGGCTCTGTTGGTTAGTCCATCGTCCCAATATACCAAGGTTGTGGGTTCTATCCCTGTTCAGGGCACATGCAAGAAGCAACTAATGAATGCATAAACAAGTGGAACAATGAATCAATTTTTCTTTCTTTCTCTCTCTCTCACTCTTTCTCTCTCTCTCTCTCTCTCCCCAAAATAAATAAATAAAGGAATAAAGGAGTGGCATAAACCTACCAGCTAAATAAAATCATTCAAATGATAAGCCAATTATTCAAGTGTTGCTTTCCTTCTCCAAATGCTACCCATAAAACAAGACTTTGTTCTTTTGTCTTTATGTGCCCACATTTTCTTTGGGAATTTTTTTTGGAGGGGCAAATATGTAACCAGGAACCACCATTTGAGAAGATGGAAATAATTTTTAACTGGTAGTACTGGTGATTTTGACATTCCAGAGTCATTTGTTTACTTTGCCAATTATTTGTAAAAACAGAGCAAAGCAATGAAAGGGGCCTGTTTCCTGGTCTTCCCAACTTTGTGGCAATGTGAGGACTTGAGCTTTGTATTTCCTCTCCCA